ATTGCGACAGGAGAAGCATGAGGATGTTGGCGATTCTGATGAGATTCCATCATTCACGTTTAGTTAACTCTGCGCAATCTCTCTCGCTCTCTCTTTCACTCTCACTCGCTCTCTATCTGCCTTTCTCTCTCTCTCTCTCTCTCTCTCGCTTAGTATTTCTTTATCTCTACAATCTGAACTTTTTATCAATTAATGGCTGCTTGTAATTAAGTGCAGTGATTATTGAAAAAAAAGAAAGAAATTAATGCGTTTCAAGCATTATAATAAATTGAAGAGCTAGCTAAGTGAAATCCTCTACAGCATTCCCCTTGCCAGACAAATGCTGCCGTAATACATATGTACATGGCTCATCAAATATGCAACAGCTTTATCTTAATGCACCGCATGCTGACGATTCAATGATGCTGATGATGATTCAATGGTGATGCCTCAGCAAACTGCATGGTGATGGTGATGATGATAATGATCATGTGCTGAATGCATTTGTAAATTGTCGGCTGCCTTTAAGGGATTTGTAGTACATCGTATTATAAAAGAAGTAATGATAATTATCAGAAAATTGCTAATTATTTATAGCCATTGAGATTAATTAACATCATGTAGAACAAATTTTAGGCATTGTTCAGCTATTTAAATCATTTGGCATTCTGAAGTATTTTATATTATATATAATACTAAAGGCATACTTTGAAAATATTTAGTTTTATGCGATTGTATAATATGTTCTTTCAAAATTGGCAGCGTGTCAGCTTGCTGAAAATATTACATTTCATATTGTTAAATTTAAACAAGACCATAATTGGCTTGTGCTCTATAAATGTGAAAATATGAAATATCGTATTATTTAATTTGCTTTATAAACTAAATAATAGCCTGCTAAAAGGGTTAAGTTTAAATTAGTTCGCGATTCCAGCTCTTTTCATTGTTGCCTCCTTAATCCGCTTCACAGAATGATCATCTTCAAATTATGATTATGAAATGTCAGTGTAATTCAGAACAACGATAAATATGCCTAAAAGAGTAATTAATTCTCAGCACCTCAAAAATAGTTTGCGTAATTTGATAGAGCGAAACTTATCGGTCAAAGTATTTTAATTTGCTTAAAGTATATCTTTGATGGCTTTGTCAGTTTCTGTTTGGGGCAGCAACCCCAAAATAAGTTTAAATTATTGTTGAATGAAGATAATGATGGTGATGATGAGGACACTGACAAAGACGAAAATGAGATCTAGTCGTTATCGAAGTCAAAGGGTGGTGGTTGAAGTTGTAGGCTATAAGTTGTAGCTTGCAGTTGGCCCTTTATTTATTAATTTCCTGTTTGCATGTGGTGCACCTCAAGCCGGAAAAACAATTTGTTGGCATGTCAAAAGCAACAACCGCCGAGCTGAGCTCCATTCATGCCCATTTCCATGTTCACGTTCTCGTCTGCTCGTCTACGTTTACGACCATGTCATGTCCAAGTCACGTCCCAGTTCCGTTCTGGTCTCGAAACTTCCTGGGTGCCCCAACTCGTTAACTTGGCTTTAATGCCAATATTTGAGCTGCATAAGCCATGCAAAATTCACATAATGAGAATGGCAAATATTTGCTCGGCGCATTATCAGCAATTTATATTATATATTTGGCTATCAATAGCTGGAGGCTTCAAGTGGTGGGGCTCGAAGTCGAGTAAGTGCATTAAATTAGCATAAAATCAACAAGCTAGCAAACTGGATTGCAAGCCAGTTATGTAATAGTTGCAAAATACAAAACAATTCGACCAAAAATGAAAATTTTAAGCAAACAAAACAAACAGCAGCATAGACTACAATCTGGGCGACAGCTGCAATTAAATTCAATTTAACAGCAACAGCAACAGTTTAGATGGCAAGTTTATTCAACCAAATAGATACCCTGTACCAACTTTCAACTTAAATGTAATATTTTTGCAAATAAAAACGAATTGTTAAGCGTTGCTAGCTTAAATTGTAATTTATTTTAAAGTCGTTGATTTGTCATAGATTTGGTATGCCCACCTCAAGATTGTTTTCTGTGCTGGGTATGAATACAACATTAAGGGTCTCCCAAGGCCAGTCGACAGGCAACAAGAGCTAACGGCTTTACACTAGTTGTGACCCATTTTATTTAATACGACACACTGCAAAACAAATGCAAAATCTAAGCGCCTGACATTTGTTGATAGTCCCCGGTCCCCGGTCCACTGCCCATTCCAACCGTCCCTTGGTCGGGAGGTGTGATTGATTGTCTGGTCAACTGGCGACTGACCGACCTGCCCTGCGGCCATTTTAACGTGCTCCAATTGTTGTTCCTAATTTCTGTGATTCTGTTTTGGCTAAATAATGACACCGCACTCGGGTGCACAGCAGGCCAAATGTTGAGTAAATAGAGCGGCAATAACAATGGACACACTTGTGAGTGCCACACATGACAACTGGTTGGGGCACAATAACAGACAAATGCCAGTGGACAGGCAAATGCCAAATTTCTAGCACACGCTGCGTATGCGTCATTTGATATCTGAACAAAATGCGTCATTTGATATCTGTAGGAAATGTATGCAATTAACATTTTGGATGTTGGCCTACCAATTCTGACAGAATATCAGTGAATTTGTGAGAATGTGAGAATACCGGCTATTAGCCACACACCTGTTACTTGTAGTATTGAAAATAGCACCTAAACTCAAATTTATATTACTTTACTATACCCCAAACTCATTAAAAATGGGTAAAAGGGGTATAATGGTTTTGTGCAAATTTATGTAACAGGCAGAAGGAAGCATCTCCGACTCCATAAAATATGTATATTCTTGATAAGGGTCAACAGCCGAGTCAATATAGCCTTGTCCGTCCGCCCGTCCGTCTGTATGAACACGCAGATCTCAGAGACTATAAGAGCTAGAGACTTCAAGTTTGGAATATAGGCTCTCGTATACTTTATTTTATCGATAGCTATCGCCGTTTCCCGATTATCGAACATTTTTATATTTCCGAAAGCAATAAATTCTACAATTTTGAAGGCAGAATCTTCTAATTTATACAGAATATAAATATGGATATTATTGAAAGTTAGGAAACACCAAAGTTATTGTCGAAAATATATTTTTATATTGATCTCATTTCTGTATGTGTGAAAAAGAGATGACATGATATTCGGAGCGAGCGTCAATATGTCAATATGTCTTTGTGTGTATTCTGCAGAACTCCGTTACCCCGTTACGATTGCGTGTACGTATATATATGTACATATTTGTATGTAAGAATATTCACGTGTTTGTCGGCAGAGCGCACTTGCAGAGGGAAACGTTCCAATTAAACTAGAGTATATTTAACAACAGGGTTCAGGGTATATCGTAGTCGACCTCACTCGACCACAACACTCTTAGGTTAGGTTAGGTTTGGACCTGTGTCAGCCCGAGGGGTTGACACACATAGGCCATGTTTGGCCCGTTGTGATACCGTATGGGATCTGGAAGGGGATTTTTCCCAAACTCGTGTTTTAAAAACATCCAAAAAAGTTAGACATTTTCCCAGCCAGTTGCGTTTACAGCACTCTTACTTGTTTTAATTGGAAAATTATGTTACCGAGTAAAAGTGTATTTTCTATAGTCATCGACTCCGCTAGCCTAGGAATATATACACCTATGAATAAATTGATAGGACAAAACAGAAAATATAACGGTTTTCATAACTTTTCACGCAAGATTTTTCTGCTTTCCTAAACTTTATTTTTTAGTCTCTTTGCAACTTTTACTGTATTTATCAATTTTGTTTGATAGCCACCGATTTTAGGTGGTCACATAAAAAGGCCATTTCCTTAAATCAGACTTTATATGAGAAAAAAAATGTTTGAATTTCTTGAGATTGTCGAGAAGCATTATGTCACCATAGCTGTACACTTATTTCCCCCCGTCTATCTCTTAATTACAATTGCCAAACTTTAGGATACCTCTTTAATACCTCTGTTCGTGGTATATGTAAATATGTTAGGGTATATGCAAATTATTCGAAAACGGACTGCAGGCTTCTGCACTTAGCCAAGTTTCTCTCTGAATGTAGTTCAGTACTGATATCAAAAAGTTAGTAAGTCAACACAATTTGTGTATCTGTAGCATCGTTTTTGTGAAAGTTCTGCATTAGTTTCCTTTCTTCGAAGGTGTAGTTGAAAGTTCTTCGCCATGTTGATCAAGTAATTACGCAAAGCTCAGATTGCAAGTCACAAAAAGTTGATGGCCAACTGACTACAACAGCAGCAGCTCGTTTTGACCAGTTTATTATTGCTTTAGCATGTCCTTAGCATGTTGTTTCAAAGGGACTGCAAAGTTTGCTTGCACTTGAGACAAGTTGCAAATATATCACACACGCACTCGCTAAGTGAATATTTACATATACAGTACTCGTAAATGCATTCATATAGGTAAATATATACATATATACATATATTTATATGTAGTTGGATGTGGCGAGAGGAACATAACGATCATTAAGTTGCAGTGCGCAGCTGATACATGACAACACAAGACATATGTACACGGTCATATAGTCACTCAGTCGGGACATAAATCATGGCTAACAACACAGGCACACACATACAAGACAACACACAGCCAGACACTCGCACACTCGCACACACACACACACCCATACACATTCACTTCCGGCACAAGTTGGGCAACTTCCGTGAGAGATGCGACCAAGTTGAGCCGAAAAATTTGACAGCTAAGCAAACTGTGTAGAAAATTGGCCACCTCCAAATTTGGTACATAGACACATTTTCACAGATACAGTTACAGTTACTGTTCTAGCCACAGATGCGGGCCGTAAAAAGTTTCTCAAGTTGCTGATTGACGTTTGGGAGGTTCAAAGATTCCCTCGGTAAGCGTAATTAAAAAACTTTCGCAACATTTATTGAACATGCGACTGATTGTTTGATGGCACTTCAATGTTTCGATTACTCGCTTTCGCTTTCGCCTTCGACACATTAATTTATACACACAAATATATTGTTTTATTGTACATCCGATTGTCTTTTATTTTTCTAGGTTTTTTGTTCTCTTGGTCAGCTCCGTGTAACTCTTGGCAACAAATCAAAATCCAAATCGAAACTAAATATAAAAGATGCTCTATCTACTCGTTTGGGTCTCTTTGCCTCCATTTCAACTTCTTCCACGCCTTCCTCTTCTTCTTCTTCTCTTCTTCTTCAACTAAATGTAATTTTAAAGATACTTTTTTGCATGGGTGGAGCGCTTTGTCGGCGCCCAGATGCAGCTAGCCTGGCCATAGCTAAACATATACCCAATGTCAGATATAAGATATATGCATATTAGATGTTCTCATATAGGCTATATATAAACGCCACTTGTTCTTTTTGTTCTTGTTGTTGTGTTTGTTGTTCTTTCTTTTGTTGTTCTTGTTGTTGTTGTGGTTGTTATTGTTGTTGTTGTTGTTGTGTTTGACGTTGTGCACTAAATGCTTAGAAACACTTGCGGTGCACAATGCCAGGGCCAGACTCGTCGTACTCCTGCTTGGAGATCCACATCTGCTGGAAGGTGGACAGCGAGGCCAGAATGGAGCCACCGATCCATACAGAGTATTTGCGCTCAGGTGGTGCAATAATCTTGATCTTAATTGTGGATGGTGCCAGAGCGGTGATTTCCTTCTGCATACGATCAGCAATACCTGAAAATATCAGATTTCATCAGAGTGATAATTAATATTGCGCATAATCAATTGTAATATTGAAATTTGCAAAGAATTCAAGAGAATTCTATTTTTAAAAATGACTTTTTTTGCTATTCATTATATACTACACAGTAATTACATTAACATAAATAAACATTGCATAGTATGGAAAAATATTTCTATTAAAAGTAAGTCTAAAGAGACTTTTCTAAATCACAATTATTGAAAGTAATACTAAATTTGAACATACCTGGATACATGGTGGTACCGCCGGACAGAACATTGTTGGCATACAAATCCTTGCGGATGTCCACATCGCACTTCATGATCGACTGATAGACGGTTTCGTGAATGCCGCAGGACTCCATGCCCAGGAATGAGGGCTGGAACAGAGCCTCGGGTGTGCGGAAGCGCTCATTGCCAATGGTGATCACCTGGCCATCGGGCAACTCATAGGACTTCTCGAGGGAGGTGGAAGCAGCCGCTGTGGCCATTTCCTGCTCAAAGTCCAGGGCAACATAGCACAGCTTCTCCTTGATGTCGCGCACAATTTCACGCTCAGCGGTTGTGGTGAAGGAGTAGCCACGCTCGGTGAGGATCTTCATCAGATAGTCGGTCAGATCGCGACCAGCCAAGTCCAGACGAAGGATGGCATGTGGCAAAGCATAACCCTCATAGATGGGCACAGTGTGCGAGACACCGTCACCGGAATCCAGGACAATGCCCGTGGTACGACCGGAGGCGTACAGGGAGAGAACTGCCTGAATGGCCACGTACATGGCTGGCGAGTTGAAGGTCTCGAACATGATCTGTGTCATCTTCTCGCGATTGGCCTTTGGGTTGAGTGGGGCTTCGGTGAGGAGGACGGGATGCTCCTCGGGGGCCACACGCAGCTCATTGTAGAAGGTATGATGCCAGACCTTCTCCATGTCGTCCCAGTTGGTGATGATGCCATGCTCAATGGGATATTTCAGGGAGAGAATACCACGCTTGCTCTGCGCCTCGTCGCCAACATAGCAATCCTTCTGACCCATGCCCACCATCACGCCCTGGTGACGAGGACGGCCCACAATCGATGGGAAGACAGCGCGTGGAGCATCATCGCCAGCAAAGCCAGCCTTGCACATGCCGGATCCATTGTCCACAACCAGAGCTGATGCCTCTTCGTCACACATTTTGGCTTAAGATTGTTGAGATTGTTGGGGCAGCACTACTAAAATACAGAAAATCCCCAGTTGTTATATCCTTGCAACAGACACCAAAGCGTTCACGCCACTCACGACGTCTATATACCACAGCGACAGCAATCAGAGTGATTCGCTCTATGGCCGACATCGGCATTTAAATAAGCTCTGTCCGTCATCTCGAACAATGGATCTTTTTCACCATAGTAACATGTTGATGAATTCCGTCTGTGCTCACAGAGCATCAAGCAACGGGAAGGGAACGGAAACGCAAAAACACATTATTTATATCGGGGCACTTGCCGGATATGGGTACTTTGACTTTATTACATTGTTGATTTTTCTACAAAATTATTCACTCAGATATTGTTAGACATCTCATCATCTATCGTCTAAGCAGACCAATTTTCTCAAGCAGATACAATTTTTAATGGGAGATTATAAAATACATGTAGAAGAACTATATCTAGATTCATGCTTCATTATTTGCAATATTGATTTTGATTAATAGCACAAAGTCTTTCGACTTAAGGTTATTATAAATTGTTGCTTCTTGAGGATCAAGTCTCAGTAGATTAATTCTGTTAAAGCACTTTATAAATTAATCAAATGCAAGTCGTATCTTAAAGTACACTTATCTATGGATTTGATTTTTCTTTACATCGGCTTCTCATATTATAGCTCGTATCATTATACCTAAAAGATTTGTTTACTCAAGAAAATGAGATGGTAAATAGGAGATTATAAAATACATTTAAGGATTCATGAATCTTTATTTTCAATATTGATATAAATTAATAACAATAATGAATTTCAGTTAATTTCATTTAAGATATTTTAGATTCTTTAGTACCGAATCCCTAAGGATTTTTTATGTTGCATCGAGAATTTTTCTTGAGTTATAATTTCCTATTATGTATAAAACCTATGCAGATTATCCACTACGATATTATAGTTCACTAAATGAGATTTTGTAAAAGCATAAGCCTCTATGTGTAACCATTCGTAACCCATTCATAAATAAAAGTTTCAATAATATTTTCCACAGATCTGATTAAATTTTATTTCCTATAACTCCCTTCAATATCTTTAGCAAATCATTGGATTTTATCATTAACTGGCAGCATTAGTGTCATTCAAGAGTATTCAGAATATTTAAATGCCCAATTATTGGCTTGTATCATTTCATGTACACTCAATTATGCCTGTTGCATTTGGCAAGAGCGATGCTTTGAGTTGCTTGAGGGCGAATATGCGCCAGGACTTGTATAGGCATCCCCATTGTAGATATATTTTTAAGTTTTTATATAAATAAATGCGAAGCACTGAACAATGTTGTGTACTACATACTTGGCCACTTCTAGCCAGCCTTTCTGTGTATAATGCTCAATGTTGTGCCAATGATGTGACAAAATTGTTTTGAGTGGCTGCTCACTCATTTCGCTCACTCGGCCCATAGATGGTGCGACCCAAGATGCCCATAGCCACAAAAATATAAAATAAATAAATAAATAAAGGAAAACAAAATAATACAAAAATATAAGAAAAGACTGAAGACAATTCTCACTGTCTGTGTATGTGTGCGGTGTGTGGTGTGTGTTGTATATGTTTAGATAGAGATAGAGGCGTGAGTGCATTTCTTGACAATTTGTCGGTTGTCAGTGCCGTCGCATATCGCCAGATCTTAACGAAGTATTAACTACGAGATTTATATGCGCGCTGTTTATTATTTTAATTAAGTGTAGCGCAAAATTCAGCATTCTCTGCTTGTGAGTTGTGGTGCGAACATGGGTCTCCTCCTCATATTAGTTGGCCAACTGCAGTATCAACTGAAAGTTAGCTGCTGCCAAATGTGTGGCCAAAACTTTTTCAAGTGCTTTGCAAAACTATTGAAAACTACGTGACTGTTGCCACAGGCAGGTGCTGCCACTGTACGTATCATTGTCAGTACGATGTTGCCTTTGAGCTCATCGCCAAAAACCAGTCGAAATTCCTAGAAATTATGTTAGCCTGTACACGCTGCTATCTGCTACTCATGCAGAGTGTTTAGCAACTAGCCGGATTGTGGGTCAGTCAAACAGTTGCTTAAAGTTTATCCCCACTAATTTATTGGCATGCAATGTGAATAGCTTAATTTGCATGCAAATTTAGCTGATAGCTCTTCGTATAAACTAGTAGAAGACTTCACTAAAATTATGACTCTAAAATTCTTTAATAATTTTTAATGGTTACAAACTATGCCATAATTATTTGCCATCAATTCAATCTAATTAGCTGTCTTGGCATTTATCTACATATCAAATAAATATTATTTAAAATTCTCTAATGGGAAACTTTTCGCTCAACCCAGGCATTTACTAGCCACTAAATATGAGTATGACGCTAACTGCGTTTGGCATTGCAAATGGGCGAAGACTGGCCCAAACTCCAACTTCAAATTGGTAGCTAAAAACGCTTCAGAGAGCCGTGATGCGTCGACAGGGCGCAGTGGCAATTTTCCTATTCCGCTGGTTACGGGTAGGTGGTGCAGTGCAGGGTGGCGCATTGCGATGGTGCTTTTGGGCCATGGTGGCTCTTTGGCACGCAATGCAGCGTGCGGCACTAAAATAAACTTAGCTAAAGTGCCAGGCAGCGAAAAATTAAATCTGAAAACTGAGCACCAAGAGCTGAAAACTGAATACTGAAAACTGAACGCTGAAAACTGAGCGCTGAAAACTTGCCTCAATGCACATAAAAATTAAAATACTTGGCGACGCTTGCATACCACGTGGGTTTTGGGCTCCGGTCTCGGGACTTGTGACTTGGGAAATCATTCACGTTTTATGGCTAATTTATGATTGTATTTTCCACAGAGTTCTTTTTTTTCTTTGCAAGCGAATTCAAATTTTCGTTTTATTAGAAATCTCAATTTAAAGCAGAGTTTGCGTTGCTTGAATTATTTTAATTTAATTTCTATTGTTTATACTGTAGAAGGGAATTCTGGTGTTTCTGGTCCAGCTTCAGCTTCAAGTTGCGATGGGCGTTGCGTGCAGCATCAGATTGTGGGCGTGGCACACGTTCAAGAACTTTGTGCACAAACTTTGCGCCCAAGACACGCGCCTGACAGCTTTCGTCGTTCGCTATACACACATTTTTATTATTAATTAAACAAGTTGCATGCTCAAATAATTTCCACTTGAATTAATTTCTCCTATGTGGCCACGACTGGCAGCTGTCATCATGCAGCCCCCTCGCGGGTTAATTACCCCCTTCGGAATGATGATGCAGGTCCAGCATGTTGCCAAAAGCACGATTTACTTTCAATTACCATACTACACGCACAAAGTATTTACAAGATTTATCAATAACAACAACAGGCTTACAGACCTACAAAACTAATCAATGGGCAGTGACTGGTGCAGCCAGTTGCGTTGTCCGCCATCGGCAAAGTCTGCCGCCGCATGATCCTGACCGTTGAGTATCCATTTGGTGGTTAACAGGCCCTCGACACCCACGGGGCCGCGTGCATGAATCCGAGCCGTTGAGATGCCCACCTCGGCGCCAAGTCCAAACCGGAAACCATCCGCAAAACGCGAGCTCGCATTGTGGAAAACACAGGCGCTGTCTACGCTGCCAAGAAAATGCTTTGCGGCGGCATCTGCACGTAACGGAAAACGGAAAATGGAAAATGGAAAATGGAAAATGGAAAAACAGCATATAGCAAACCGAAAACAGAAAACAGAAAAAATAAAATAGAAAACAGAAAACAGAAAATAGAAAATAGAAAATGTAATATGCAGGCACGGGCACGAGCACGAGCACCTCATGCTGTATGCTGAATTAAATTAATTTCCCAAATGATTTAAATTTGTGGTGGCAGCAGCCAACAACCGACACGACCTGAGAACCTGAGAACCTGTTCCCAACCTTGGCTAAAACACAGAACACTAACGATGACGTCACACATGCAAATTCCACAGAACATGCCAGTGCACTTGGCCTGGCCCAGGGTTTATTTAGTGCTTAATTTAATTAGCACACAGGTCAGTTGACAAGTCAAAAAGTTCATACCCGTCTTATTCGAAATCTGATTGCACCAAACTAAGTTGCAATCAATAAAGTGTAATTTGGATGTAAACTGCTAAGCAATCTGATAATTAAATTTGTATTTGTAAATAAAATTAATTTATAGCTTGAAACTATCAACTTATGCGTATTTATCTAAATTGTGGAATAAATAAATATTTAAGAATTATTTGTGAACCTAACAGAAATTTGTCAATTTGTATCGCATAATTGGATATTAACGAATGCACTTTAATCGGTTTGATAAATCTTCAATCATCCTTCACGAAAGCGAGAATCTTAATCGGTTTGAGTGTGTCTATGTTCGTCGAGTTTAAGACATGTTTTCCAAGGACATTACATTTTGTGTTGTGAGCATTCCTCCTCATTAACACAAAATCCGCAGATTCCGCTACTGATTAAACCTAGTTAGCAGAGCGACTTTCAGTCCGGCCAAGGGACCGGTGAGTGTTCTAACTCTATTCATCCCCACCGATAGTAAATGCCTAAATCGTTCTTGATAATAGTCGGATAATAGACATTTGGCTTGTCTGAGACCTGATTCCTCTGCATATGTCTACCTTCATTCACCCATTGGCATAATACGGGTTTGGTCCAGTTAGGCGCACGATTAGCTAAATACTTCATAATATTAATCGCCAATTCAGTCATAAATCGCAGAATGCCAAACTGGCGCTGCCAATAATGGAATCCACTTTATATTACGGACGTGGGGAGGGGGGCAATGCTGTCCTAAACTAATTTATAACCTGCACATTGAAATGTCATTAGGGTGAGGAATTTGCCCCTCCTAAAATCGCTGGACTCATGGTCGACTAATTTTTCTGCATCAATTGCAAGCAATTGAAATTAATTTTCAATTTTCGTACCATTTTCCGTAACAATGACATCCGTGTGACCGCTTCCGTATGTATGTATGTGATTAATGGCCTCCTCCAAACTGGGCACAATCTCAATGCAGCACTCCAGTGCACCGTATTCGTGCCTCAGACTCTTTGCCGCAGGCGGTCCGAATGTCAGCTGCTGATTTAGACGCGGCCCCGCATATATTTTGACACCCTCCCGCTTCAGCATGTTGCAGACATCGTTGAAAATCTCGCCGCTCATTAGATCCTCGTGTATGAGAAGCGTTTCCATTGCATTGCAGGCTGCAAGGTAAACCAGGTGGCGACACCGATACCAGAACAAAAATGCAATTAATTTTTCGAGCAATGCGTTTTGGTGTGGAAATGTCTCTAATTAAAATGTGGCAGGTTTCTTTTGCTCTTTGATGATGAAATATAAATTTCCTAAGAACATGCTATTTATCGCACATTTAAAATGCAATGATGTTTTCTTTGCAATTTTCAATTATTTTTGATGCAGAAAATGCATCGACATCGAAAATTTAATTTAAAAAACGGCAGCTATGAACTTCGATTTAAATTAAGTTGTTTCTTCAGACTGTTTGAAAAGTATATACAATTTAAATAAACCACTAATAATAGTAAAATCTTCTTTATGCATTAAATACAATATTCTATTAAGTATTTCGAAATGTTCATTTTACTGCTGCATGTGATTTAAATAAAAAAAAAAAAAACAATTTATTCTGTTCCAGATATTTCAAAATTCTTAACAAATTTCACAAAGCACTAACTAACCCTTAAGCTGAAATAAGCTAACTTCTCAGTTCAACGCACTTTAAATGATATAAAATTGGAAAAAAATTCTGTTTACCTGCTGGATAATCGCATTTGGCATCTCGAGCGATGTGCAGAGCCTTGTTCAAATCGGCGTCCTTGTCGATAAAGACGTGGCAAACGCCTTCGGCGTGTCCCAGAACGGGAATGTGGAGGGACTGTTCCTGAATGTTGCGCACCAGCTCCGAGGAACCACGTGGTATGATCAAATCAATGTGACTCTCCATTGCCAGCAAATCGCTTATCTCCTCGCGAGTGGAAACCTATAAAAATGGCAATTACAATGTGTTAACTGGGCTATTAACTTACTGCTGCATTATTACTCACGAGGGACACGGCATGCTCGGCACCCACACTGGTCAGCGCCTCCTTGACCAGCTCCATCAGCGCCTTGTTGCTGTGCGCGGCCTCCTTGCCGCCCTTGAGCAGCAGACCGTTGGCCGAGGCCATTGCCAGGGCAGCCACTTGAGGCAGCGAATCTGGGCGGGACTCGAAGATCACCAGCAGGACGCCGATTGGCACCGTCACTTGCTTCAGTTCCAGCCCGTCCGCCAAACGTGTGCGACGCAAGACGCGACCCACATTCTGCATGAAGAAAAAGTAGAAAAATAAATAACCGTCAATTGACAAGTCAGCAGTTAAAGCATTACACATACGACATGTGGGTACATGTGGGGACAATATAAAATAACTGTATATTTATGCGGCAATGCCTCCCAGTTGCCAATTCTAATCCCGGGCGTCCATTTGAATGCGTTGCCGGCACCGGAGCAGTTTTACATACATACATAAATCAAGGCATTCAGCTTGCCGTAATCTTTATTTATTTTTAATGGGCTGCTGCTGGCCCCATTTTGCATCTCTGTCCCGTTAACGACACAAAAAGCTGCTGGAAATTGGCTACAGATAACGTGAACTGGCCATGCTGCGATATCCTGTGCTCCGCTCTGCTAAAAGCAGCTGCCCGCCTCGTTTGTCAAGACTGCCAGACGACATAGTCCATGCCTCCAGACCCCCAGACCTCGACCCTGGCAGCAACCTCAATCTCAGACTGGAACTCAAGTTGAGCGCTCAGTAATTTTGGTTACATGGCCATTATTATTGACTTTGGCATCGTAGAGCGCAAAACTTTAAATTATATTTACAAAGGACAATTGAATAAGTCGTGCCTAATAACTTGGGCCAACACATTGTGTCGAGAACCATTTATGCGATGTTTATTATGCATCATTAAAATGAAGAGTATCACAACTTTGGTTATTGAGTTTGTGAAATTTCACATTTTGCGCACATGCTTTCAAACGAAATTAAAAACGGCGCCGGGCAAGAAAAGTCACATTTTATGTTTGCTTCTTAAAAAGCATTTGTTTCTTTTTTGAGCATCTACTTTTATGAAGTAAAAATTTATATATTTGCATTGATATTATTTGTCTCTGCAAATAAACATATTATTTGATAGTTTAGAATTTCTCTTTCCAAATCGAAAGCCTTTAGTCATAGTTTGACAATTTACAAGTGCCCAACTCTGTTATATTCTGCATTTGGTAGGCGATAAAAACATATTTTTTGCGTTGTATTTATTTCTAGAGCTCATCTATAATATCGCACTACATTACCAAAGCCCCGTCTTGTTATTTAAATTGTCATCTCCCACGTCAGCATCATAAACATACTTTTTTCCACATCCCTCGATCCATTTATTGAGTGCGTTATTCGTTTTTTTCTCGTTGCTCGTTTTTCGATTTTCGTTTCTCGTTTTATGATTTTTGCGCTACTGCCACTTTGTGTCACGATTTCGCTGCCTGCTTTACAATATACTCTGTAAGTATGCCCACGTACCAGTACTGAGAAATAGAAAAAATAACGTTTTTCTGGCTAACGGGAAAAAGTTTTACGTTTCCGCACAATCACATCCAATAAAATGGCTAGCAAAGGGGTGGGTTAGACAAGCAACCCTCTCTCTCTCTCTTCGTCTGTGCTCCATCAACTGTTGCCACTATGTATGCGAAAGTGTGCGTTAATGTCACTGCAAAGACGCACACACACACACATTAGAAGTATAGTATATGGAGCAGAGCTGTCTTTTATCTTCCACTTGCTTAGGTCCTTTGGTTCCATTTCCTTCCTTCGGGTGTCAATTTTTGTTGAAGTGTAAAATTGCTTAGAGATTTCATAATGTTGTTAAAGCCAGAAAGCTGTAGCTGCATATAAACAACAGTTACTCCTGCTGTGTAGGTCTGTTGTAGGTCATAAAATGACCACTTTGCTGTGGAGCAAGACCAAATCCCTGGCTGCATACTAACTCAATTGTTGGCCAGTCAACAGTATTTTTAACAACATTTGATGACAGCCAAACAAATGCAATTTGCCTCAACTTTTTAGGGTCCCCAGTGTTTCACCTGATTTTCCCATTGCACACTAAATATGGGATAAATAATTGAAGTTTTCGCTGCTTTCACTCACCTTGTGACTGTCCTCGGCAATCTGCTTCAAGCCAACCGACAGGTTCTTCAATTTCGCCGAGTTGAGCGACAGGCGGGACAACAACGGCTTTGCCAATCCACTCCTCTGCGCCTCGGCCAAGTCCTTGGCATTCGCCTCCAAAATAAACTTCTCTCGGCTAACCAGCAGATCGGCCAAATTGCTGACGGCTGTGGCACGTTCGGCGGCACTCAACGCCTGCATTTGTCGACTGCCTATGCGAGCTGTTTAATGAAAATGTTGTGATAGTCTTAGCCACGTTGTCATTTGTAAACACTGTTGCCAAATGGCACATTCTCAATTTAATTTGTCAGAATAGCATTAATCTTCTGCTACAATGAAAATGTAGGGCATGAAATGTTTAGCGTGCTTGACCCCATTATATAAAGCAGTATATAAAGCAGTATATAAAGCAGTATATAAAGCAGTATATAAAGCAGTATATAAAGCATTGTGTTGTCTGCAAATATATACATATTTGCCCTAATATACCAAAAATGGAAAAACCAATTATATACACACAGTTACCGCAGTCTTGATTACCTTAACCTTTTACAAAAGTCTGTGGAAGATTGCGAAAAATAAATAAAAAGATGTACATATTTGGATTGTACATATATCATCGACCAATTTCATTTACAATGAATATATTCAATCTTAGCTTTTGCAAGCAAGCTCAATAGCTCAATTAAAATTTGATTTTTTTTATATTTAGAAAAATCACAATTATAATTTTTATTATTTATAATTTATAATTTAGATGAAGCAGATGGATTCCATGGTATTGAAAGGAATGTAATCATCAATGGACCAAAGAAATTCTTTCTGGATTGTTTTGTGAAATACATGTAAAGTAGAGGAGGTTATCAAGCTTTCAGCAGAAAACATAACAAATTGCTGAGGCTGTTCCATTTTGAATATTTCCTATTGCTTTATTTACTTAAATACTTGTTTGCGTTACAAATTGAACATGAGCTAAACCAGTAAAAAAAAAACACTTTCCGCTAAGAGCTTTAGTCTTTGCATCATTTGCAACATTTGCAACATTTGCAACATTTGAAAGCGCACTCTGGCATTTGCAAAAGTAGCCAAAAATAATGTTCAACATGCTGCAGCTTAGTTAACAAGCACTCTTGAAGCTATTTGCGAGCGCTCTGCTTTAGCTGTCTCTAATAACAATTAAATTAAACTTGCTAACGTAAAATCGCAGCACAACAGGCCAGTCAGCCCAGGTCCGGGACCAGGACCAGGACCAAGACTTGGACCAGTTGGCGCTGTGAGGCCAACGGATGCCACTTAGTTGGCCGACAATGGGGAACCTTAGGCAGACACGGTGACCTCGTTTCAACAACAGCTGCAGCGGTGTAAACTAAATGACCACTACGTCAGCCAGTCAGCCACTTTGCGAGTGTTGGCCCCGAGCATTTTTCCAGTTCGCGCTCATTGAGAGCCACTTAACACTTACACTTCGCTTGGCCCTCTAGTTGAGACTTGACCGAACTGTTTGCTAAGTGACACCAACTGCAATCCATTTCATTAAGCCAACTAACAGAATCAGTCGTTGTGACAAACTCGCTTGCCAAACTATACAAATCTAATGTAATTATTCTTTTTACTTTTCGTTTTTCAGCGATCATCAAGTTATGTGAAATTAATTATGTTTTTTTTTTTGGGTTTTTGGCCGCTGCTCTCTGTCTCTCTCCCCCTCTCTCGCTCTCTCTCTCTCTCTCTCTCTCTCTCTCTCTCTCTCTCTCTCTCTCTCTCTATTGCATCTTAGTACTCTGAGAAGAAAATGCTCCCATCTCAACTATAGGTTGAAAAAAAGTTTAATTAATTTGATCGATAACTGACCTGCGAAGCCTTAGTTTTTATTCTCTGATACAGCCTTAAGGGTAGACTCGTGTAACTTGTGCCTGCATCAGACAAAGTGTACAAATTGAAGTGCAATGTCAGATAGGAGGTTGGGAAATCTATAAAATCGATGATCGCAAGTCGATTAGGCCCACAATTTTAAGACTACATTCACAAAATTTGGCTGCTAGCTTGTTGGCTATGTCCTTCAAAGACCGCTGTAGTAGTCATAACTTCTTTTTGAGTTAGAGTCGTCAACTTTGTTAGGTATATTACTGCAACCCGCCTTTAAGAACATATCAAAGATCTTTATGGCCTCGCCCACACCAGCGCTTTTAATCGCCAAAACCGATATTTCAGAAAGTGTAATTCGACAACACCGCATATCTCCCACAATTGTAAAGATAGAGTCACAAAAACGTGGAAGGTAAATTGCTCAAAGATCGGCATATTCATTTTCAGACCACGCCCACACCCGCCGCCCTTAAGAACTTGTGACTTAAAAACCTGAAAAGGTTGTACTACGCCAACTACCGCCACCAAAACGATAAAAGCCTATATCTCCAGCAATTTAAGAGCAATAGTTAGCAAAGTTGGAAGGAATCTCCTTAAATATATTTTTCCGCTCCGCCCACTTCCCCCCCAAAAATTCTCAAAGCCCATATTTCCCGTTATTTAAGAGCTACAGTTACCAAACTTTGAAGAAAGATTAATAGGAAACTTCTCTACTATTTATTTCGACCAAGGCCAATTCCAATTATCTTAGGCAATTTAAAAGCTATGGCTACAAAACTAGGAATAAATATTACTCGGAAACTCCTCCTACATTTTTTTTCAGACACTCCCACTACCGCCCTCAAAACTCACAAAGAAACTACATCTACTGCAGTTTTAAAAGCAAGCTTGGAGGATAGATTACTAGTAATCTCCATCAAATATTGGTATTTCTTGGTTACACCCACCGTGTTCTCTACTGCCTGTTATCATTATATTTCTAGCTTCAAACTGAAATTGTTATGTTATAGAAAGAATTTTATCTTCGGCGTGCCAAAGATGGCATTTTTTCTAATTTGTCAATATGACTCAGAGAAAGGACATAAGTTTATTGCGTAGGATAGTTTCACTCTCATACACATTAATTTCTTAATACGCCCAGCTTCAACTGGGTTGCAGTGGTCCAACTAGGACACATGTCAACTGTAGCTTAACATTAATTATTTAGCTACATAATGGTATTTTTTCTTAGCTGGCTTTTCATAAACTGGTTTCCTTATCTAGACAACATTTTTTTCCTAATACTTCAAATATTAATTCAATGCAAGAACAAAAGTCTGTTTATACAATGAATTCTACACCAGATTTCTTGCGAGCAGAGTTCTTAGTGTCAATCAGAATTGTGTTACTTACCATTCTCTGCCATCACTTCGACTGGCACCGTATTGGCGCTCTCTGTTGACTCAGTAAAGAATGTGCCAACTTTCCTGCCACCCACGATTGTCTTAATAGCCTTCTCCTGCATGCCGTTGCAAATAACAACGCTGACGCCCCGATCCAAGGCCCAGGTAGCTGCCTTCACCTTGGCGTCCATGCCGCCAGTTCCCACCTGCAGAGCGACGGGAAATATTATGAATACATAGTTAGCCAAAGTGTGAAGCATGCAATAAACAAACTACCATAATAAACACCATTAAGTTGCAATACGCGACAACTGCAGCTGTTACTTCTTGCTACTTTCCCCTCCCGTCTGTCAGCATTTTGAGAAATTATTGTGCAAGGACAGCCAAATAGCAAAACTTTCTGCGGTGTCAACATTTTTTGCCTCTTAAATATTTAACAAGATCTGCGCTAATGAAAGCAGCTCAGGTACAGCAGAAAAAAAAACAATTGCAAAGGACTGTCACGTAAAGGCCACAAATACCTAGTAGGAGTCACACAAAATTCTTAATAGCAATTGCGGTTAAAACCTTTGAGCATAGCAAGTAAATAAATATATTAAATAATGGCATACTATTAACACAGTATGTTATCACAATAATTAAATCAAATCATCCAAATCATCCTAATTAAAGCTAAAACATTTAATAAATACCTGTATGAACAACTTTGTTGTTTACCAAGATCAAAATTACTAAAATTAGACTTCTTTGGACTTACTTAATTAGTATAAATATAATTAAAAGTGTTGTAGCTATTTGACTGATCAATTTTGATAGCACTCATATTATAGCTCATCATATTTCAAAGTTAATCATACTTTATATTGTACACTCGGAAAAAAAATTAATTTAGATAATATTTATAAGATGTAGTCATGCAAACTCTTATTTGAAAGAAAAATCCTTTGTAAAATTCGGAAACTTGTAATATCATTTTTGCTCTCTCGTTGCTAAGCTGCTGTCTGCCATAGCTCCGAATATATTTAATTATCAAATTAAAAAACTATCTAAAACATAAGAATGTATTTGAAATAATAAAATGCTAATACAAAAAAATGTAATATTATAGTTCCGTATACACTTTTAAAACACACTTTTCAATTTAGAAAAATTTAAGAAAAGAAAAGCCATTTTGGAAATATAATTTCTGTCAATGAAATCATAAGAGTTGCCTACAGCCAAAAGTATGCCACTTTTATAAAACTCAATATGATTTTTTCTGGTATTTAAAACTAATACTTTTAAGGAGGACACTTCTCTCGCAATGGAATTGATAGGTGTGGAAGTTACTCACCTTTGACTTCGTGCCATACTCAATGCTATTCACATCATCGCTGGTGTAGGTGTGCATCAGTTTAGCGCCATCTTCCCAGGGGGGCTTGTTGTAGATGCCATCGACATCGGACATAAGGATGAGCAGATCCGCTTGCACCTCAGCGGCAAGCATGGCCGACAGACTGTCGTTGTCTTTAATGGGTATGCCCTGCAACAGACACAGAGGCACAGGGGCACAGGGCCACATTATTGTGGGCCTGCACACAGAGGTGGTTACATTGTCCCGGGGTGGGTATGGGTGCTTACCTTTCGTGCGCCTCCGGCTGGCTCATCGTCACGTATAAACATGGGTGGGGAGACGGCATCGTTCGTGTTGATGATTGGCACAATATTTAGGCTAATTAATTCGGAGAGTGTCGAGAAGAGATTGTTGCGTGTCTCCTCGTTGTAGAAGTCCGGCTTGGTCACCAGAACCTAAATACATGTATTAGTTTCAGTTTCAGTCTCTGTGTTACACTTTCGTGGTAAGTAATTTGATAAAGTGTTGTCCGCAACCGACCTGCGCAATCTTGACGCCATACTGCGCAAACATCGCATCGTAGAGTGACATAAGACCCGATTGACCCACCGCAGCAGCCGCACGTGGCTCCAACGTGGCGCCATCGAACTAATGAAATAGCCAGCAGCTTAGTGTGAAACTTTAAATTGCTTATTTTGTGTATGTGTATGTATCACCTCCTTGGTGTCCTTCGGATTCAGCGTTTCGCGCATCGACAACGACATGAGCAGCTCCTGGGCAAGTTTCTGTTTTCCAAACGCCACAGCACCACTGGTCACCATGATGACCTCACGACCCTCTAAATGGCACTCGGCCACCTGGAAAAAGTAAAAATACCAATTAGCTTGAGTTAAATGTTTTATGGATGCCAGGGAGCATCGGAGAAAACTTTAAAATCAAAGAGCACTTTCATGGTTGTGCTCAACACAGAAAAAAAATTATTAATATATATGAGATTATTTATACTCAATCTACGGCAAAGTTCTTAAATTGCTTAAGGGTTCGCATAAAATATTTTTTTGTAGGAAGTGGAAAATCGAAAGTTCTGCTAAACTAAAACATAAGTTTTGCAAAAGTGTATTTTTTAAATAAAATCGAATAAATCAATTCTATGATTCAGTAATTTTAATGTTATCAAGAAATTCAGATTTGTAGCATTTCCCGAACGAAAAGTGTAAATATCTTTAGACTACACATGATGAAGTTGATAATTATTTCAAAAGCATAAAAGCAATACAACTTAAAGAACGTCTTTTAAGGATCAATGTAATAATGTACGATTTCTGATAAGCATTTAATAAGTATTTATCACATACCTGCTCCACAATGGATGCTAAACGACCCAAAGCCAAGCCATGATTGTCCTCTCGTGTAATCACCGCACTGCCCAACTTGACCACCAGACGCCGGGCATATTTAAGCTGACTACGTTCCGTAAACTGAGGATGGGCCTTCTCCAAGCGCTTCTCCGGCGATAACAACTACAGCAAGATAAGACACAAATTAAATATTAGTTCAGGTCATAAATAGACTATGAGAGTCAAGACATTGAAACGGGACAACAATTCAACTCCCACAAGTGGTGTGTGCTTGTGTGTGTGTGTGTGTGTGTGTATGTGTGTGTGTTATCTCTGTTTATCGGCAAACACATGATGAGGTTGTAAATTACGACAACACAGTACTTGGAAATAAAAGCAACAAATCGATGGCAATTCAATTTGTTAGACCGCCTAGTTCCTGACTCCAACCATAATCATTGAACTTAATCAGTTTTGCGTTTGTGTGTATAAATCATAATCACCGATTTGCGTTAAGTCAATGCTTCATTTATACATAAATATATATAAATGCTACAAATCTAATTTTCTAGAGCACATTAAAATTACTGAATCACAGAATGAATATAATTGATTTATTCAATTTTATTAATAAATATCATATTCTGTGATGTATTTGCATAATAAACAGGCAGACAAGAACAATAATTACAACTAGAACAGCTAATTAGCTGTTATGTGTAACAATTGGTTGTTTTCGGAACATGCTGCGTATACGTAATGTTTGCTAAGATAATTAATTGCAAGTCATGACTAATGGATTTCCGCCCTCGATACGAGCACTCCTCACATAATAGCATTTTGGCAATAAATATCTTTTAAAAATGCTTTGCAGAAATATAATAGTATAAGTGCTATTTGATTTATCGATATGAGTTGCTCGCTTAAAGTGAGTTTAAATCAAATGTGACAGTCCCACAATTTAAATTTATATTCACAACTTGATGTGCTACCTTCTGGGAAATGAAACGCTAGCTCGATTGATGCCTGACAGTCGGAAATATCAACTGGCAAATGCTTCCGTCAACAGTCAACAACAACAGGCACTCAAAAATCAAAATAACAGACACGTACAACAATATTTAATACCCGGAAATGCAATAAAACGTTTGCCAAAAAAATCACATTTAATATTCGATTTAGCTCAATTTATTAAGGCAAATTCAACAAAGTCAAAAGGTATATTTATATTGATTTTTTGAAAAATTTATGTAAAAAACAATGTAGTATAGTCGTCGACAGTAGGTCCATAGGCGACATCAACATCAATAGTTGGGTACGTACGACTGTTCGTGGAACGTTCACCTAAAATCGGGGAACGTGTATTTCTATTGAGAGACAAAACGGACGGAGTCCTCTGGACCGTAGCTCTTTTGGCGCACAACGTGGGACCCCTACCAGAAAGAGTTTAAAGTTCAGAGTTTGAGTAACTTGCAAAACGCATTGGAACGTGCTCAACTGAAGCCTTAGCACCCAATTGGTGAGTCTGGCACTTTTGAATTGCTGTTCAACCCCCTTGTGCTGAGTTAAAAAGAAAAAAATTCTAGTATCCCCTGCGCTGACGAAGTTTAGATTTGTTTAGACTGGCTTCCGCATATGGAGATACAGAAGTAATTCATGTTTATATTTTAACCTAGCATACTGATGATTCTGCCTTAGATAATCCGACTAGGAACTTATATTAACTGCCGAAATAGTGATCGCCTACGGAATTGGCTCGTTTGTTTTTTATGTCTTTGAAGAATGCATTGTTGCATCTCATCACTGAGAGATCATTTTTCGTACCCAGAATGAGGGAATAATTGGGTGCTTCAAAGAACATAACTATGGTTAGATACCACTTAACTGCAATTGGAATTATTTCATGCGGATTATTGTAAGGAACTAATGGTCATCTTGTCTTTGCATGTCCTTGCCGAATAATTAAAATGTTGTTTTGATCAAGTTAAGTTGCATGATACTTCCCATTTATAGTTAAAATAGACAGGAAATTAAGACCTGCTTTCATCACACGAAGAATGTGTTTGAATTGTGTTCTCCTTCTTTTACCTTATTACCTTTTAATATCTCAACCAGGAACACGGATGTTAAATGATAAACACCCTAATAAAGTATAAATAAAGCAAAAGCCTTTGAAACGTAATCCCAAAAATTGTAATTTTGTAATTGTTATGTTGTAATTGTTATTTTTTTTTTTCGTGGAGTAACGTCTCCAAGTTTAGTTTCTGAAGGAATCCCACATAATAAAATTGTGTTTAGTATTGAGGACTAGCAAAAACCCACCGCCTCCCGAAAGAGCTATAGAAATAAACGTTCCCCGATTTTAGGAAAACGTTTTACGAACAGTCGTACGTATCCTACTATCGATGTTGATGTCGCATTCGAACGTACTGTCGACAACTACACTACTAGGCAAATCTAAAAGATCATAGTTTGTGATATGCTTCAGTTCCATTTTACTGTTGAGTTTTTTCAACATAATCCTTGGACAACATACTGCAAATCAGTATTTTTTAGCGGCCCTCATTTAATTATACACCCTCGTCTAACCTTTTATGCTGCCATTATGTGGATTATTTTGCTGATTCTTTATTTTACCTAACACATCAGCGTCAATCAGCGCCGCCGCCAACGCGCCAATGCACACTTCGGTGACTATTCCATATTTTGTTTGTACTTTTTATTGATTGGCTTTTCTCAGGCGCAATAAAAAGCGGCAAGGTACTTGTGCTCGCATATTTTACAACGAAATCAAAGGCAACGTCAAAGGCGAACGCAACACCAATTATCTAACGATTGAACTGTAAATTAAATAGAGGCGTAAATATTTTCATTGCGTTACATTTAAATTGACGACATCAGAACAAGGTTGTTTGCTGGCCAAGTAATAAATACACTCCATAAAAAGGTGACCCACACAGAAATCAGGCGAAATGCCAACAAATATTTATTTGCTTGTTTGATTTTGGCTTTTACTTGGCTGTTGAACATTTCGCTTTGTTATCGTTGCTCAGTTTATATTGTTATCATAATATTTGCCAGTCGCCTGATGCATAACAGCAATAGTAAGAATATCACAATGGGCAAATCTTTTGTCTGGCTGTCAACGGGGCGTTCATCAGATAAATGCGAAGACCTGAACTAGAGATGGACACAGGAGCAAGACGAAAGAAAGCATGACTTAGCACGACACGAATAAATAGCGAAATAATGAATTACAATTTATATATTTTAAATATAAATATTTATTATTTATTTTATAATATATAACATATTTATCTATTTATCATTAATTAATTTTGCTTAACTGTCAATTATTGTACAATAAAAAATAACTTGTCTATTTATTTTTACATTATTATTATAATATAATCAACAAATGGAATTTGTTGTTATTTATATACCCAGTAAGCATACGTAACCAGAAAAATTTAGAATTTCCACAAATCCAGACAAGCATCATCACCCCATGCAAATAGTTTGCATTAACCTACTGCTGACATTGTGTTAAACAACAACAACAACAACATCCAACAATAAGTCTACCCCATTTAGTTAGTTCGTATTATTGGCATTATTTGTAATCAAGTGCTGAGTTTCGCGTTGTTTTCATATTGATAACAGTTGTTGTTGCTGTTCTTCAAAAAACAGTCTGGCAAAAGTTAACACTTGCTGCTGTCAAAAATCTAATTACTAAGCAATTAAATTATTGACTGCCCAAAAGTTTGTTTTGCTGGAATAATTTATGGCCATCCGTAGACAGACCCCATAAAATCGGCAATAAAACTGTAGAAAAACGTTTACGGCCTACGCAAATGACTGTGAAAATAATCGTAGCCTCGGTGAAACCAGGGGATGTACTGTGGTACAAATTGAAGCACAATTAAGAAATAATCTTTAAAGCAGCTATAAACCAAATAATTATAACTCCAGAACACTATATCAGTTATGAAAATTGAAATTAAAAAAGTGTGAAGTAATCACAATAGATATAATAAACTCAAGCAAAAGACCATTAATATAATTTGCCAATAATTAACTTGCAAATTGGAAAGTATTTAGAATCAAGGAACAATATTCAAATAAGAAATATGCAAAATTGTATTGAGATACTTAAGTTCTTATATATTTACTTCCTTCAGGGGTTTCCGTTGTGCTATCTCATGTGGCAAGCGTTGAGGCATAATAAAACTCTCGAGAGGCCTAATCAGAAAACGACAACAGCTGTTTGATTCTCGTGCTCGACACAATTGCAGAGCTGTTTTTTTCTTTAATGTTTTATGCTTGTTCTGTTATGTCATATGGTTGTTTTTACCACTGTTTCGCTTTTTATGATGCACACACACACACACACACGCACACAACTGCAAAAACACTGGAGCTGCCCCATAACTGCCAACACGTGTCAAACTGGGCGACGATGACGCCGGAAAACTAGTCAGGGAGCCGGGGAGTGGAGCAGTGACGAAGTGACGACCCTGACCTAGCCAAATAGTTTTGAGTGTCAAAGGCAACGTGGACTCTTTGGATTCCGGAGTAGGGACTGGGAACTGCGGACTGCAAACTGCGGACTTTGGACTACGGACTACGGACTACGGACTTTGGACATATGCAAATGCAGCTGTCGACCCTTGCTCGGGGCCAGGGCTGGTCTATGCATATTTAAAGGGGCTTTAAGTTTATTGGAAAGACGAACGGCAAACGGCATTAAATTGCTAAAGGCAACAAAAGAAACAAAAAACAATCGGTTGGCATTTCTCACACACTTTATGCCCGCCTGCCACACTTACGTTGCCTCCAGCTTTTTTCGTTGAGTGTACGTGCTGTAGTTTTGAAATACAATATTTGCACTTTACAATTTATTTTAACACGTATATGCCGCACAGTACCAACAGCTGTCTTGCTGTGCAAACGCTTTTTGTGTCATTTTATCAGCTTGTCCGGCAAATAAAATTTTTTTTGTTTTTCTTTTTTTTTGCTCGCTTTTGTTTTGTCACACATCCCATGCCCCCAGTGAAACACCATTTGTATGTTTAGCATGTCCTTCAATCCGAACCCATGCTGCAAATGATTTACAGCATTACTCTAACCCAAAAAAACATAAATCGATTTCAGCTGTCCATTCAATTAGCTGAACCCCAGCCGTATTTTGATGGCCCATTTCCGACCCCCAGAATCATTTGTGACATTCCAAGCTGTTGCCACTTCGATGAGTCATAAAAAAAAATACGAACTAAAATCTTGAACTACATTGCGACTGCTGTGGCTTTTGTCGTTGTTGTTGTTGTGGTGCCTCTTTTATTAAGCTGATTGAGTGCTGATTAAATTTTAGTGCCAAGGAAAATTCGGTTCCTAATCTACTATTGTGCAGTGTCCCCAACCAGTCGCTTACATAACATGGACATGGAAAAAGTCAGCCAATTCCCATAGTTTATTTAGTGTTGACTGTGGTCATCCTCAAGTACGTCATAATCTCTTCTGAAATCATCAGCTTCAACGATTCCAGTAATTTTCCCTCATACCCAAATGACATTTAATCACAAAAAAAAAACCGCTTATCATTTTGCTTGTTTTTTATTTTGTTGTCTATATTCTCAAAGCTCACAATTGTTTATAGGCTGTTTTGGTAGACATTCCAAGTGTCTAGCCAACGACTTTAGTTGAACATATTTTTGGTTCTCTTTTGTTTTTTGTGTTCAGCTGCACATCGAATTAGGTAATTGATACCAAAGTCCAACAGTACAATCGACAAAGACAAACTTTGTGCAGAAGGTAGAAACACGTATTGCCTTCTAATTTGTAACCTTCCGATTATTTAAAATTAATCACGTCATTCACATAAGTCACAACGATTATTAAAGAGTTGCCTTTGCATTATATTGATTTTTTGAGCAAGCCCCAAGCTACTAAGCAACCCATTCTTGGCTGGGAAAAATTCATTTGGACAATCACAAAATTATTCAACATAATTTGGAAATTAATTAGAAGTTAAATCTAAATCAACTGAGTAGACTACATATTATAATATGGAAATTAATTATAAGTTGAATAAATCAACTGAAGAAATCTGTCAGAAAGAGAAATGATCCAATTAGCACTTCAACCGTTTTGACCCCAATCAGCTTTGAGCAATAATATTACAAAATAATGTTCGCTCAATCGATAATGAATGTTTTACACTTATTTACAGCAATTCATTGCCACATTGTATGGCAATTTGATTTCCCTTACACTCACTGGTTGTCGGGGTCCATGGGTACTGGCCGCCCTCCAGGCATTGCTTGAAAAACTGTTGCGAAGTGCTTTGCAGCTATTAAGCAGCATTTTGTCTAGTGTAGTAGTATTTATGGGTTTAAAAATTATATTTAGAGTTAAGCTATATTTAATGCGGAGAGAGTGAAGCAGACAAGATCCTGAATGGGATCCAAGCACACGAATATCACAGAATCGCAACGAGAGATTTGCGCACAGCGAACCGCACCGTAAAACCCACTGAGCACTACTGAAACGGAATTGCTTTGGACCCGTGCACGCCCGAACCAAGTGACGGGATCTGAAATGACGGACTCCGGCTGCTTACTGATAATGAAGCGCAAACATGTGTAAATGTAAGTGCTCACTGCGATTGCGATTAAAATTGGTTGGGGCCAGCCCCTTTGCACAGCTGTCCCCTTATCGCCACCCAGTTCTTGTTGGGATCCAATTAGAACTGTTATCAATCGCAGTCAGAGCAACAACAGCACACCCATACACACACACACACACACACAGACACACGGACTGGCACACTCGCTCCCCAACATATGTATTTGCAGCAGCAGCTCTGCTATAGATTATGGCAAACATTTACACTTTGAACATGGAGCAGCTCCGTCGAGTCGCAGTGCTTATCATATGGGGCACGGGAGAACTTGGAGCTTATCTGACGAAGAGCTGTGTTTGCTTAGCGAATCAGTCATGTTACTCCAGCTCTTTGCAATGCCGTTGCAGTTTCTAATACTAACTAATTAAAGACAACAAATCAATACACGAGAAGTGAAAAGGCTTCTAAGCCCACGAACTAAATTATAGCATAATCAGTGTTGCAGGAATTTGAAACAGCTTAGAAAAAAGCATAAGTTTATTTAAGAAATGTTATCTAAATTCTGACTCTCACTTGCTAAGATTAGACTTGCGATTAAACCTTTATCTAACATTAATTCAACTTTTAATCCATATTTTGATTTTGTATAAATATGTTTCTCTAGTTGCGTACTTTAAAAATATTTTAATTAAGTAATAAATATAATTTTATGGGTGTCCTCAACCAAATAGATACTTGATTTGCAATGCATATACTAGCTTTGTGAGCACTTTTAATTAAAAATTAGTTAGCCATTACAAATGACATATCAGATAATTAAATGAAATTGTGATAATCGGACATTTTTTTAGTAAATGCCACTCAAACGAAAAAACACCTCACCAACACACGCAAAAAAAAATATTACAAAATTAATTACAGCTTGTAATGGAAATAACAATGTTTGACCTTTAAGGGTTGTAGAAGTGAACTATTTAAGCCAACTGACAGGCAGGTCAAAATATGCTAGACTGCACGAGAACAACGCCAGAGGGCAATGAGGGTGCATTGCTGGCAACAGGACACGGCACACAATCAGTGCACATTGTGCGCAAATATCCTGCAGCTTTCATTTAATTATTTTTACACAAACAACAACTGGAACATGAGCACCAGTGGCAAACAGAACAAGTTGGACAAGTTGGGGAAAGCTGTTTGCCAGCCACTGAGCCAGCGAGCGATCAACTCAGAATTATTTTCATAATTAAATGACATTAAAAATTAGAAAAGCAGAAACAAAAGTTTTGTTCTTGCTTTGACTGTTTGCGTGTCCCGTCGTGTCCTGGCCGCTGTCCTGGCCTGGATTGAAATTGTAAATGCATAGGAAACCCATAAAATACTATAACAAGAGCAACACTGAACCACTGCACCCCAGAGCCAACGGCCTGGGGTCAGATAAGTGCAAAATTATGTACATGCCTGCCGGTTGCATAGCTGTTGGGTTTACTGTACAAATGCCAAGCACAGCAGTACAAAAAATTGTTGCAAAGTTTTTCAATCGAATTTTGTATTTTATGTGCCGCTGCCGTTTCCGTGCCACTTTGTTTTATGTGTCCGCTGAGCGGGTTTTGTTGCGCAAGAAATGTGACTATCCATAAATATGAATAAATGTTAAATATATTTTTGCCTGTGGCTTGAACTCAACAAAACAATACTAAGTATGTGCAATGAAATAGTGTCTCTTTGGTTTCCTTCTTATGCTTACATTTAAAATAGGTCACATGAATGAACTGTAATTGAAACTAGTCAACGATTCATCTACAAAGGCAAACCACGCATTGAAATTTGAAAAATACTGCTTTTTTACTTTGTCTTCATGCCCCAGTGCATTTTTGTGCGTTGGCTTTGACTGCGGCCAGCTAATTGATTGGCCAAAAGGATCGTTATTATTTTTTTAACAAATTGCCAGATTTGTGGCAACAGAATTTGAACGTGTTGCAATTTACTTCTGTCATCTACTATATATGTTTTGTATTAAATATTTTAATAAACTACATATTTCCTTATTCAATTAAGTAAGTGAATTTTAATTTAACTACTTCATTTTATATTGCAAATTCAAATTCCTCTCAATACCTCTGAATTCCACATTTTTGTACCCTATTGATTGCCGCAGAAAAATGTTTTACCCACGCAGATTTTTAAGATATAAGCAATAAATTAAGATAATTCTAAATACAAAGTTTTTCAATCTGAAAAGAAACTTTTTCATCCTTTATCTCTTATATCCTTTTTTGCGTATATTGTGTACACTTATTTTTATTGGTTCATTTTAATGTACAACATGTTTAATTCATTTCGAAATTTCTTATTCTTGTTTACTCAGACTTTTAATTTACTTAATCGATGAAATTACATTTTCAGCTTAGGTCGCCTTTTTATACCCTGAACCCATTGAAAAACGGTAAAAAGGGTATTATGGTTTTGTGCAAATGTATGTAACAGGCAGAAGGAAGTATCTCCGACCTCTCGAAGTACATATATTCTTGATCAGGATCTACAACCGAGTCGATATAGCCATGTTCGTCCGTCCGTCGGTCCGTCCATCCATAAAGACTTCAAATTTGGAATATGGATTCTCGTATACCCGGCGCAGATCAAGTTTTCTTTATCTGATAACTATTTTTTAACTGCCTCCGTTCCGATTTCCGATAACAAAAAATACCCAAATTTTAAAGGCAGAATCTTCTAATTAAAGAATATACACATGAATATTATTGATGAACTTCGCAAATTGCATCAAGATCAGTTAAGAAACACCCAAGTTATAGTCGAAAGTATATGCTCCTATCGATCATGAGATACAAATGAGTATCAGCAGCTGCAAGCATTTTCTGTATGCATAAATATGCGAGCGCATGTGTAAGAAAAAGAAAGAAAGAGAAGAGAAAGAGATGACATGATATTCGGAGCGTGCGTAAATATGTTTTTGTGTGTATTCGTCAAAGCCCCGTTACCCAGTTACGATTGCATGTACGTATGTATGTATGTATGTATTTATGAATATTCACTTGTTTGTCGACAGTCAGTTTGGGGGCCACTTCGGGCTTGTGCATAAAAACATGCGCTGGATTCGTTTTTTGTGCCTGTGCTGTGGTTGCTATAAGACATGAATGCACTTGCACACCTGCTCACATTTAGGTGCAAAACGTTTTAAAGAGAAACTTGCCAATAAGACTATAACATATTTAACAACTAGGTTCCGGGTGCATTGTAGTCGAGCTCATTCTTAGTTGTTTTTAAATATAATATCTCAAGTTTTCAGATATTAAAAAACTATGCGGATTGAGCCAGATGCTAGTTTTTGTAACCAGTTGTTACACTTCTTCTTTTCTTTTGCATATAGCCGCCATATGATCGATCAGGGCAACTTCGGCTTATGTTCTACCGACTCGTTGGAACAATCTAAGTGTATTTAAAATTCGACGTTTACATGGCAACTATTTTACCTCGAATTCATTTCAGCTTCACCGAGTCCATCTCCCAAGTTTGGCACGGTAAGTGAATTCAGCTGTAACAAGTCTTCTCTTTTATTTTTGCAATGTTGTGCCACAAGTTGCAACTGCTTTTAATGTATGCGCATTGGCACAGTTGATTTTTTTCCATCTGTTATTGTGGGCTGACTCCAAAAAAATGAACCAAGAATATTCACTTACAAAACAGCTATATCGACACCTAGGCTAAAGAAGACACCCACCCACACACATACACACACCCACAAGTGCGCTTAAGACAGAAGGCAGCAAAAAGTTGTGCATTGCAGCAGAAACTCCATCAAATCCATGCTAATGACACTTTGATTTGCATTTCGGATTTCGCAGCCGGAGGGGCGAACTTGCTGCTTGGCTTGGCTTGGCTTGGCTTAGCGCAAAAAGCGCAGTGGAAGAGCACTTAACTGAAGCCACCGTCATGGCGACACTGATGAATGACAGAACCCTGTCATCACGCCTTCCCCTTTTCCTCCCTCCCATTCTGCCCCATACACCCCCCGATGGACCCCATCTTGTAATTATGCTAATGAGCCGCAAGACGTCCTTGTGGAAGTAAGCTTCGCTGACGACCACTTGAGTTAAATTGCAATTAATTATATTTTTTTGCCACAGGGCTTTTAAGGTTACAGAATTGCATAGTTAGTAGTATGTAGTTACGTGGGATGCACAGATAGTTAAAAGATTCACATTGTATAACACGTAATACTTGAATGCTAGAATTCACTGGTCTCGTAGCCACCATTATTGTACATTTGCATGGTGGTGTTGCTGAAACTGACTTTTTTCGCATTCAGGGGTGCAAGAGGCGGTCGCTTGCCCCTCTTCGGAGTGGGCGTGCCACTGGGCGTGGCAGCTGCGTTGACCTTGGCGACAGAGCGACGCTCCTGGAAGAGTTTAATCGATTTGCGGCTCAAATGCAGATTCTTCATGTTCAGGTCATCCTCGCTGAAGAATCGCTTCTCAAAGTTCCTAACCAGATCGCTGTAGTCGCTATGCTCCTTGTTACGCTCCTCATGCAGCCGGAAAATGGTCTGGCGACGGACCATACTCTCACGTTCCTGCCCCAACTCCAGCTCATCGTAATGATGATGCCCATCCTCGTCGTCATCGTCATCATCATCAAACAATCGCCGAGGTCGCTGCAAGCGTCGAGCTATATGGACAGCATTGCCATTCAGCTCGAGGGCGGCATCCTCGTCACTCAGCTGTCCATTGGAACGAAACCAGTCCAGTTGGGTGGCGGCCAAGAGCTGGGACATTGTCCCAAAGCGATGGAAGAACATTGCTATAAACTGTATGACCAATATAAAGCCAAAGAATATGACAAAGCACAGGCCAATGGGATCCAGTTCCTTGTACTGCCTGTAAATGCCCACCTGCAGATTGTCGCGATCGAAGGACACAAAATCTGTGGGATCGATGGGCCACTTTAGATGCAAAAACTCCTTCTTCAGCTGCAGCAGGAACACAATCAGCACAAATATTGCATTAACCATGACAAAGGCAAAGGCAACCATATTTCGCAGCTCGCTTAGATCATCGGCCATAGTTTGCTTCTGCTCCTTGCTCAGCTCCAGTGGCTTCAGATATTGCCGAATCATATCCTTCCAAAAACGTTGCTCCAACAGTGATATCTCACCCAGCTCCGATTCGATGAGTAGCGGATCATTTAACCACCCTGGCAAATAGTTATCGTGATCATTCTCATTGGACTCATCGTCAGCGTCCTTCAGCACGGGCGCCTCCCGAGTGCCCCAGGTGACATCATTCATGTTAAAAACTGAGAAGATCATCAGCAACATGTACATCGAGGGTATTGTTATGTAATAGATGACACCGCAAAACAAAGCCATAAACTCTTGAGGATGCATGAGGGCTTAAAAAAAATATAACATTTATTAAATAAAGGTAAGATTAATGGCAAATTTTAAATGTACTTATTTTTACAGATTTAAAGCTGATTTTGTTAATTTAAATCTATCAACTGCCTCAAGTGAGTCAAAAACAAGTTGTGCATACGGACAGAAATATCTCTCTTCTGTAACAGAGTATGCAAAAAAAAACACAATTTTTTATCGTTTCTGCGGTATTATTAATAATAATAAATTGTAATAATTTTGCTTAGCAATACTCGTATACTGCTTAGAAACATTTGGCTTGCAAACTTGTACAATTTCGATATCCATCAATATACATATCTCATAAGCTGAATAAAAATGCGTATTACTACAACATGTTTTCTTACTGATGAGAAAACCATAAAAATATTGCAATTTTTCAAATGCTGAATTTTAAATGATATTATTTCGATAATTACATTTAAAATAAATCCAAAATGGTAAATACAACTTAGTCGTAAAAAACACTACATGGAAAAATCTATACAGAAATTGGTTGGCTGTTCAAATAAAATGATGCGAAGAAAAGCCTGAAACAAATGTGAATATACCTGGTAGATTAAAGGCAAAGACATTGTACGGCAGCTTATGTTAATATATAACTACATAACTATAAGTGCACATTTGAAAAGTGGTACTCTATTTTGAAGACTTCGAACTAAAAATTAAATGCCAGCCGATTAACTCCGATCTACAAGGATCTTTAATCTGCGGCTTGCCTACGATAAGCGTTCTTGCTTACTTTAATTGAACTAAATGGCTTACCTGAGATGGTGATTTGAACGGCAACGAGAAGAAAGAAGAGGGAGGCAGGCGCCAGGGGACCATCCTCTAGCATTTGAACAATGATGCCGATGAGGACAGCCATCATGACGAGACAATAGAGAGCACTGACCACAAACGCGATAAGCAACTGGAATTTCTGCTTGAGATAAACGCAGCTCAGAATGAAGAGCAGAATGGGAAAGAAGTTCCAGAGGAAAGCCGTCCAAATATTTATGCTAAAGACGGCTACCAATGCGCCGACCATCATCAGAAATATGGTGCCCGGTCCGAGGACGGTGCCAATCATGAGCATGGCCTGATACATGATGTACAACGTGGATATCGAATTGTTCTTCTTCACCACAGTTCTGGCATCGCCGAGTATATCGAAGATGTTGGCAATCGTTGAGGGCACCCAGCGTCTGCGCTGATTGTAGAACTCATTAAAATACTCCGGCGAATGGGTAAATGCATCCGAGGCAGCGCAGTACTCCACCCGGGAACCCTGCTTCAGCAGCAAAGTGCAGAGCCAACGGTCCTCGCCCTGATCGTATTGCACCATCTTCATGGCCTCCGAGCTGACAAGAGTGTAACGCTTCATCACGCTGTTCTCCATGAGAGCACTGGCCCGGAACAGACTGAAGCAGCCGGGGCTGCAGAGAACACAACCAATCACATGCTCCGTGGCCTTCTGCAGCCAGTGTCCAATCGCATACTCGAATTTCTGATACCACACCATCGGTCCACGGCCCACCGGATGAATGCGACCGCAGGCGGCGCCCAGCTCATCAATCGCCTTCATGCGGTCAATGAGCAGTTGCACGGCTCGCGGCTGAAAATCGATATCCCCATCGAGGGCCAGCAGAAATGTGTTCTCCGCAATCACCGCTTTGCGCCTTGCCGACAATTGCTCCGTTTCCATGATGCGGAATCCGAGAAGATAGTACATATACATGACCTGGGACCAGCGCTTCTTGTGCCGCACTTTGTCCTTGTTCTTCAAGTGGGCGACCATTTTGGTGCGTCCGGGCAGTGTCCAGACCAGGCGACCGCCATACGGTGTCTCAATCTTCAATGGCGGCTTGATTTTAATAATAACGCCATAAATCTCGAAGGCCGCCTTGTCAATGGTGCGTGTCAATGTCTTCACATATTCGTTTAGTGGCGGGTTCCTTTTGTTCTTGCAATGCTGCTCGTCCAGCACAAAAGCATCGTCGAAGAAAATGTTCGCTACAGGTGTGAAGCAGATAGAAAGAGACAGAGAGAGCGTGAGAGAGTGAGAGATAGAGATGGAGAGAGATTTGACTGCGTAAGTAGTCGTAAGCTTGTCAAACAAAGACTGGGCAAATTTATGGCCCATACTGTCTGGCTTCTCAACTTTTGGCTGGACGCCATTTTGGCAACTGAATGCAAGAAAATGAAGACGCCAAATACTACAAATAGTGTACAAATCTATAGCAAGCAAGCTTTTATGCAGCACCGCATTTGGCTGGCACAAATTTCGAATTTGGCAGCCTTTTTTTTTTTTGTTGTTAGCAAATACATTTTTAATATGCATATCAATGCGACGACAGCAGGACACTCGAAAGTAATGGGAGTCCTTGCTTATGCAAAGTTTCTCTGAAGATGCAAAACAGTTGCACTTTATATATTTACATACTTTCCAATTCATAGTATTCATCATCCGCTTTGCCGCCGTTTAGATGCGTTTTTGCCATTCGTCGTGCGCATTGATCCTCATCCAAGCGTACAATTGATTTCAGAAATTCCATCATCTCATCCTCGGTCTCATGCCACATTGTTGCACAGACAATCAGTTGCGGTATTTTGTCCGCCTCCTGTATATCCCGACTGGCATTTATGTCGGATGCCAGCGCCAAAACAGGATCTCTTGGTTCCGTCAAGTCGCTCTGTGTGTGTATGCAGAAATATATGTTTATTTGAAAATATATGCAGTATTCACAGGACAAAATATTTGCCAAGAGATTTCTCTTCGCGCATTAAAAAAAGAAAGAAGAAAAACACACATAAATTTGAGAGCCGAGAACTTTTCGCTCCACAAACTCTTAAATTTATTTACATTTATCCCTTGCGCATAAGTCATCCTAAATTTCATTATGTCTGCCAACAATCAGGTCAACGGGTTCAGCGTTAAACTTCATATCTTCTCTGCAGATATCGAAGAATAATGAATTACTCAATTACTTAACTACCACACAAATAATCGCCTTGAAAATCGCCATACTTGTGGCGATAAGTTTAAGTCACCTTATTAATAAGAAAGCAAATGTCTACGAGCAGAGCAATTTAAAAACTATTGTTTCTAAAATAAGAGCTTACATTTATTTTTATAAATATTTATTATATTATTTTAATTTCTTTTCGTATGTTTAAAAATTATTTCTAAAACCAGAAGATTTTCAATCCGAATTTTATTTCTGAGTCCAGTTTGAATTCTTGTCTTTTATTAATTGTAAGGCATCTTTAGACAAATATAGATGCAAAATAATGAATATAAAGTTTGTAAGTAATCTGTTCTCGGTTTTCTAATATTTATTTTAATTAATATCCTGACATAAGATCGCATATTATGTGCACTCTGAACGTCTGTAAATTCTAATAAGGCAAAACACAAACAAAACAATATCTCTAACTTTATCTAGAAGTGTAGCTACATTTCTAATCCTTAAGCAAACATTCGAAATTTGTTGATTATCAACCAAACTATTCAATTCCACATGCCAAAACTACATTCTTGATGCGCTTAAAGCGTTACAACCCTTTCAAATACATAATTCGCTATAATTATAATTAACAATCTCAAAAATCATCATATGCGACTTTATTTTAATTAGTTTTGCCCATTTGTGGTACCCTTTGGAGCCAACCCCTTTGACAACTAACAAAAATTCCTTCTGAACCGCAGGGAGGCAAAATTGTAACACTTTTAATTAAGTTCGCATTGACGAAAACCTACGCCACGAAAATTTCACTGTAAATGTGTGAATACATTCATATATGTAAACAGAGACAGGAACAGGAACAGGGGCAGGCACCTACAAAGAGCACACAAAATATTTTCCCCCAAACTTTGCAGTTTCCCCGTCATTTAACTTAATTACATTGCCTGACATTCGAAGCGAAACACGACACAGTCAAAGAGTCCTGCGCAAATATATGTGAGATTGAGAGATTGAGGAACGGAGCTGAGACGTAGACGTAGACCTGGTAGTGCGAATGGCAATGGGAATGGGAATGGGAATGGGAATGGGAGTGTGTGAGGGCGTGGCCGTGGCCGGGGGATACCGCCCTAATAATGAGAGGCAGCATAACTGCAAACGCCTCCAAGTTGGCTGGATGATTGATGTTAATGCCTGATTACAATAATTCATTAACATGAACTTCAAGTCACACATTTGCCAACGTCATGCGCAATTAGTTGCTGCCTGGGCAGAGTAAGGGTACTCCACCTCGTTACCCACCTTGATGGCGAAGTACTCATCGCTCCAGTCGAGAATGCGTCGATTCATTATGGAGCACTGGTCCACCAGCAAGCCACAGTACCAGGGACACACATACAGCTTCTCGGTGGGTGCATTCCGATCATTTCTCGGCCGCCAGATGTGCAGGCAAGTCCAAATCTGTGCCAGCAACCAGAGTGGCCACAGCCACAGGGCATATTCCAGGCTGCGAGTTCCCAGCTCCTCCAGATTCTCTCCCAGTGCCTGCAGCGTCAGGTAGTCAGGGATTAGGCCGTGCAGCCAGCAGATATTCGAGGCACGCATTTGTGCCAGAATCGTGGCCACAGCAACGGTAACTGGCGTTGCCAAACTGAGCGGCAGCGCATAGCTGAAATGCTGTATTTTTATCTTGCACGCAAACTTGCCGAAAATGTGGCACAAATACGCAGCGCCAACTTGCAGCAGGACCGCGTAAATGACGGCTCTGCTATTCGACTGGAGCGTATATTGGGCTCTTGGTGAGGATTTGATTAACGAGCTGCCATTGTTGGACGCGTGTGCCAAATTAACCGTATCTTGCAAGCCATCCCAGTGCTGGAATTTCGACAGTCAAACTCAAAGTCAAAGCAACAACAGCAACAACAACAACAGCAACAACAAGAACAGCAACAACAACAACAGCAACAACAACAACGCAAACACATCTCAACCTAATGAGCTTTTTACATACCGTTAGTGTTATGGCATGCGCTTGCCACGCCTTGAAAAACAGTGTGAAATACTCGATAAAGCTCTCGCCATGCAACAGAAAACCCATCAGTCCAAAGACCACAATTTTCAGAGGCGCCAAATACAGATAGGTGTGGTAACGGGAGCGTGTGCACCTTATAGTGCGTATAATGTAGGCTGCGAATGGATCAACGGAATCAATTAATTAACTGTTTTAATGGTATTGTGTAACTAGAACAATCTGTCTTAACACCCTGTAGACTCACTAAGTACTGCTAGATATAAGGGCTAATCAACTAGATAAGCTATACGATTTATTGTTTAGTCTAGTCTAGTTTAGGGTGTTCAAACACACATTAAGAAATAAACATGGTATTTCCGAAGATAACTCACCTTATTATTGAAAAGTATTTTTCTAAAAACCCGAGGTTTTCTCTTATTAATTTCAGGGTACATATTTTTAAAATTTAGGTCAAATTTGTTTCTTATTACCTCTTTTGCGAATTATATTGTTAATGAACATTTTTCCTTTTAGATTTCATATATTGCAATATTTTAGATAGTGTATAGAAAAGATAGATGTTAAGAAATATAATTAGGAATGAGCTTCTAAAATAGGTACATAATAAATGACTTTCCAATGTTAAGAATCCTTTTCGTATATTCAGAAAACATTTCTGAAAACCTAGAGCAAAAATGTATTTTAATTTTAAGTCGATTTTCTAAATTTCAGGTCGAATTTTTTTCTGAGTGTATTTATATTTATAAATTTAAATTTAAATAAGTTAGCAACGCACAAAATGTAATTTAATTAATTAACACCACCAACAAAAACCTTTAATTAAAGTTGATGGTTTAATAGTCGAGTCAATTTTCTATACACAGTTGATTCCACGCCAAAATAAAGTTTTAACCAATCATTGAAGCAACTGCCCCTTTAATCTTGCTAGGTGGCAAAAAGAAAGCAAATACATACAAAACTTAATCAATTTTTATATTGATCTTCGAAAGCGAGCTTAAACATTGAAGGATGGCAAACAAAAAAAAGTTGCTTTTAGCTGCTTTTCCCATATTCCGAGTTTGGAGAGCGAATTATCCAAACAACCTTTTTTCTGCTCACTTACTTCCGAAACAGACTAAAACTCTAAATTAAATAGATTTTAAAACAGAAGTATGAGTGCGCTGGACAGGAGCAACAGACCAGCACATGCCATATACCCAAGTTCAAATCGCAGTGAATTTAATTAGGACAGAAGGATGGAAGGCAGCCAGAGAGAAGGACAGACGGATACCTATATCGACTCGTAGACCAGACGCAGATAAAGTCTATTTAATTTTATAAATTTCACTTGAATCCATTTCATATAAATAGGTTGAATATCTAAGACGGTAAATACTTGCGTTCGGTGTATCTCCTTGTCCAGTTTACTCTACTATAACATTCTTATCTGTTGTAATATGTACATGGAATAATTTCCAAAGTCCATACAAAGGGCACATTAAACGTTAAACTTCATTGTGCTATATAGTCTTGAAAACAAAATCAAAATCAGTTGACTCACCAATCGCTGCGTGCTTATTGGCAAAGTTCTCCCACCAGCGAAACGAGACCAATATCAAAGGTATTGCCAGCAACTGCAACTCGAGCTGCGTGGACATGGCTGGCCAAATGAGGAAGACGCTGCCCAATGATAACGCTGCCACAATTGAGGCACCATATACAACAATGTCCCCTGACTTCCAATGCAGACGAGTGCCAGTGAGTAGGTCTGCAAAACAAAGTCATACCAATAATAATAATAATAACAATAATGTTAAACGGAGAGCGCAAGGCAATCAATTTGATTGCTGTCAGTCCGCACGACAATGAGGCTGATAAGATGCAAGTTGGTATTTGATGCTTGATAGTTTGTGTGTATGTGTGTGTGTCTGTGTGTTACTCACTAAGAAGCGCCGGCACAAAGCACACACAGCAGCCCAACATCGCTCCACGCGTCATATCCAATTGGGGCAGCACGGTAAAGGTGAGCAGCGCCAGGCCAACAACATGCAACAGTTCAAACAGTGTAACCTGATTAGCAATAACAATAACAACAACAATCCAATGAGCTTATCAATCTATCAATATAAATACTACACTCAGAAAACAAGTTGGCCTAAATTGTATAAAATCACACAAAAAGAAAATTGACAATCCCAAAAATACTGTTTTTTATTTTTATATAAATTTACTATTTATTTGAAATGCATTTCTAACAATTAGATGTACCAGCCCTAATGTTTAGAAAAAATTCGACCAATATATAAACAATATTTGTCTATATATAAAATTGAAAATACTAATGATTATTCATAATAAATATAAGTAATAAAAAAGCTAATATTAGAATACTTCTAAGCCACCACACATGGGAAACAATACATTGAAAATAAGACATATTTTTTCAACATTTTAGAAAATAAAATACTTTCTGCATAATAAAGCCAAAAATATAGCGATTTACTACTCAAATTTATTTAGATTTTTTTCTGAGTGTAGTCGGGCCTTACTCACCAACACCACTTCCAGTCCGTTGGGTCGCTGCTCGCGCTTGAACATGCTGATGCGCATGGCGCGCAGAAACGTGAACAGCTCCGGTGCGGCAAAGGCAAAGATCAGGGCCCAGACCCAAGCAATCTGTTCCAGCTTGCTGGGCATGGCCATCACTTGGCCATCGAGTAGCACTGTATGAGAGTAAAGGTGATGCTCATCAAACAATGCCAGCGAATATTTTGTATACCCTTGCAGATAATATTCTATTCTTGACCTTGACTTACGGTATTTGCTGCAGACTCGCACCTGGGCATCGCCATTCGTATTACCAGCCATATAGAGATAAGTCAGCTTGGCTGCCACGCTGGAGGCCAAGACGACGGCGCATACAAAGATGTAAGTGAATAGCTTGAAGAGCTTGATGAAAAACTGCAGCTTCTTCCAGTCGGCATCGGAGCCACTTGATCGCTTCGCTGGCGGATCTTGAAATGAGTCCCACAGCGAAGGCTTATCGCGCACCTTGCTGAGGATATTAATTTTCATAATTAACTCTTTGACTCTTGAGTAAAGACTAACCGGCTGCGCAAAACATAGTCGCTGCTCTCATAGTCCGCACTCATGTCTGGCCACAATCATTGACAGCTTTCAACTGAGTCACAGCACTCTCGGCCATTATTGATGAGGCAAAGTTAAAGTTGCGAATCGGCGATATCATCGCGGTGCGTAAGTTGACAGCATGTCAACAAGACTCTTCCGATAAGGAGACCTCTTGTCTCTCAGCATTAATTGCCACTAAATGCACACACTCTCATCTCACATAAAACTGAATCATTAACGCTGCATGTGAACTTCGTCCATATGTATGTATTCTAGAACAAATAATTAAATATTTGCTTCGAACTTGCAGTATTCAATAGATGGCCGACTATTCAAGGTGCGCCCTGCTTATCAATTATGGCCAGCGTCAGTTAATTGCAACTTTCTGTGAAAGGGCGCAGGAATTTCGTATTTTAAAAAGACACATCAGCTTGGTTGCCCATACAAAATCTGACCTTAGTGAATTTTCCAAGAAACTTGGAAAACTTTTTAATAATAATATAACAAATAAAAAATATTTAGGAATAAAAAAAACAAAAGTAAAAAATAATATGGATATATATATTTATATTTAGTATTAAAAAAAAGTATTCAAAATTTCAACATTCAAATAAAAGAAATTTTGTATATTTATAAATTATTATATACATTGTATATACATATTTATATATATATTTTTTTTAATTAGAATTTTTTAATTGCAATTATTTAATTCTTTATTTTTCCAAGGTTTTCCCGTTGCCCTTGTCTTTTTTAACACGGCGGTTTCTTGTACTTGCAACTAATAACAATTTATGATCTGAATGCTGATAGCAAATTGATACACTATGCGCAGGTTGTGTGGAATCCCATCGGAAGAAGAGTTTTTTGAAGCATTATAAAGTGTCGCACTGATTAACGCAAGTAGATTGCAATTATTTACTTCCTCAGAGCTATAATTAAAATAAGTGCTGTCAAGATGATAATACATTTAGCACAAATTAAAGGGGCTTAGAGCTCTTTAGAACCGCCTTAGTAAAGTAGGCTACTCTATTATCCACGCACACTTCATACTTATTGCTTTTATTACTAATTTTATTACTAATATTATTATTACAATGATAAATATAATTATTATTAATTTTTTATTACTAGCATTATTATTATAAGAATTGTGTTTAGAAAAACAAAAATATATATATATATTTAAAATAAGATATGAAAAATAAATGCAATTGACAGTTACTAATTGTGCAACAAAAGTTTTCAGGTTCAAGTTTTCAAAAATAATAATATTACTGCATTAAATCAAATTTGTTTTAAAATATATAAAAGCAAATAATGCATAAATTATTAGTCAAGCGATATATTAAGTTATATATTTAATACGTGCTATTAAAAAATCGGTAAATACCAGGCATATATTGAAGTGCAAATAAATTTCAACAAAATACCATTATAAAATATATATAGGACAACAGAATCGTTTTAAATTGATTGTGTTCAATTCAGGGTATATGAACTGATGCAAATAATGTAGCATACCATTGGGCCGTCAATTGAAATGGTGTTAAACTTGGCTACGCAGTTAACTCCCTTCCATTTCCAGTGATGGCGCTATAGCACGAGAACATATTTTCGCAATGACCGCTAGATGGCCTTCTAACAATTAAATTTTTTTTATTAATTTAAGTTTTAGACATATTAATGTGATGCATAATTAATGTACAGATGAAAATCAAATCTATAAATTGTACAGGCTGGTTATATGAGTTCAGGCAATGCTCCGTTACTTCGAATTTTAATTTTTATGAGTAAAATTTTTGGTACATTTGTACCAAAGTAGAACGCAGATAAAGTTTAGTTTTAGTTCACTAAGCGAGAGGAGTACTTATTTTGGCGTTGTTATAAAATAATACTAGCGTAAATATCTTTTTCATGTTATTTAAAACCATCAAGAGAAAATAATTATTTTGTATATTTAGCTAGTTGTGACTTTTTCGTTTTATATGCAATAAAAAAAATATTAAAAAAATACTATAAAAAATAACTATTTCGTATGACAATAAAATCGATATTTTCTTAATACTAAGCACAGAACAAGCTTACAACAATCTCAACAAATTCAAATCTTTGGAAAAAGCAATTGCTAGCAAGCATTCTAACGGTGCAGGTCTTTCCAACAAATTAATCAACACATTTTCCGAGGAGACTCCTGCTCCTCGTCTTCGTCTGTGCGCCCTTGACGAGCCAGATTGAGATCCAAGTCGCGGGCATCCTCCATCGTTGTGGGCAGCACTTTGTCTGCTGTCTCTGGAAAACCAAGCGTCAGGAAACCGCTGACAAATGCAAAAGTAGCAAATAAAATCGCAGGAGCATGCTCGTAGTACTTAGCCTAAAAATATACAAACATCCTTAGATGGGTTATATTGACATAATGGGATCTACTTACCAACAAGGGTGTTTGCGGAGCAAGCATAGAACCGATGCGACCCACCATAGAGCACAGAGAGAGCAGACTATTCCGCACATTGGTGGGAAAGATCTCCGAAGTAAAAAAGTATAAAATCTGAAAGCTACACGTTATAGCCAACTTTCCAATTAAGAAGAGCGTCAGCGAGCCAGCGTAATCATCTAAAATAATAATTTAGAGAAAACGTGTTATTTAAAATGAAAAAAAATAATATAATGTGAAAACTTTTTGTATTTGTTTATATTAAATAGTATGATAAAATGTTATTTTTATTGAAATGTATTTTAGAATTATTAGTTGGTCAAAATAATTAAATGACCCATTCAACGCCAAACTTGTCCATGTTTTCTTTATCCGTCCTATTCCTGAATACTGCTGATCAGTATAAAAACTAACAATTGATCATTGATTGAGTCCATTCAGAATCATCCAGTGTGGTTGGAGTGGTTTTCCTACGTTCTATTCCTAGTCGACCAAATATGCCTTTCTATTGCCTATGATATCTGTAGGTCTTACAATGCCTTATTTCACGTATTCTCGTGAAACTCTCTCTTACTTTAATCAAATTTTATATACTAACATATCTCCGGGAAATCTCTGAGCGTGCTTAACAGGTCGAGATATTCGACTCTCTTTTTTCCAAAGAATGGTGGACCATTTTACATTACATTACAAATTTATTAAATTGTTACATTGAATTATTATTATTATTTTTCTTTTTATCAGTTTAAATTTGAATGTAACTTTTAATTTTAAATTTTATATTATTAAATTTGTTACTTTCATTTTAAATTTCTATTTTTATCAGCTTTTTAAATGTTGTGAAGTTTTAGTCTACTTTGAATATAATAAATAAATAAATTTTTTGATCATTTTAATGTATTCTCAACAACTCCATCAGTTAAAGATTAAATAAAAATATGAATATCGACTCTATTCAACATTCCCCAGGCTCGTTTATTATTTTAAACCCTTTATGACCCTTATATGACTAGGATACTTTTCACTTCTCTTGTACGTCCCATTCTGGAATATGGATCTTGTGTGTGGTCTCCGCAACATCATATTCATCAAAGTAGATTGGAATCTGTGCAAAAGAGTTTCTTATTTTTTGCCCTCGTCGCTTTGACTGGGGTCTGCTGTCTCCTTACACCCACAGACTGCTCCTTATTCACCTCCCCTCCTTAACTAATCGTCGTGTTACGCTAGGTGTTATTTTTGTAGTTAAATTACTATTTATTTTTATGAATAAAATAAATTTTTCTATTCCCTTTAGACCGTCATGTTACTTTTTGCAACTTTCTCTTGTACTACAAATTATTCCTTGCATGAACGTTTCGAGTACTCTGTAATGATTAAAACAGGCTCTATCATTTAATCAATTCAGAGTCCTCAATTTCTACAATTACGAACTCAATTTTAAACGCCCAATTTTTGGTCTGATTTTTTCCCCCAATTCCCGCAACAAATGTTGGACCATTTTGCATTTAAATACCCCCAGAAATCTTATAAATATTTTCTATTTTTTAATTTATATATATAATTTTAAATTTAATCTCACATTCAATTTCAATTTTTCTTACTTCTTGTATGTTTTTTGTGACTTAAGTTGACATTAAATAAATAAATACAAAAAAGGGTATTTTGGTGACTTACCTGATCTGATGGCTGCCGAGGCGCCCATGCAAATCGCGCAAATTAACATTGAGGCACACAGCGAATATCGCCTGCCAATGCGATCCATGATGATGAGGGGCAGCAGCAGGCCGGGAATTTGCACAAAGCCATTGAGCATGAAGTTGTTGTACTTGCTGCCGCCGAGATTCACAGAGTTCAAGCTCAGGCCAAGGGCAATCAGGGTGTGCGTGAACCAGCAGAAGCAACAGTTGGTAATGCGCCAGGCGAAGAAGCGGACTGCATGCATGATTGGATACTGACTCTCATTGGCCTGCTCCAGCTTATGGCGATTGTTGACCAGCAGCTCGTCCACCTGTTGATCAGGCAGAGGACGCTTGTTGATGCGTGCTGCCCGCTTCAGAACGGATGCCGCTCGCTCCTCCTGACCCTGGCTGAGCAGCCAGCGCACACTCTCCGGCAGAATCCAGAGGAAGAAAATTTGCAGAATGGCTGGCGCGTAGAGGACTCGCAGCAGCCAGCGCCAGTTCTGCACTTGCGATGCCAAAATGCCAAGAAGTGCCTCACCCACTGCATAGAAGATGGTGATGATTGTGGCAGCCGCCACACGACGCTTGGGTCCAACCAGCTCGATGGCCAGCAAAAAGGCCGTGGGGAACAGAGTGCTGCCCACAGCCATATCCAGAAATTCGAAGCACACAAACATCGCGTAATTGCTGGACAGGGAACGGATGATGCCCATGACGGCACTCACAGCTCCAGCAATAGCCAGCATAGTGCGACGTCCATATCTAAGTGAACAAACATACGCTTAGTGTCAAGATTCAAATTGAAATGGGACGGTCGACTTACCGGTCTGCAAAGAAACCTCCCAGTGGTATGCCTACGAACTGTCCCACGTTGTTTATGGTGCCCACCATCGAAAGTTTCCATTCGTCTTTGCAAAAGATGCCAAACTATGGAAATGAAAAAATAAATAGAGTTCACTTAATGATATTAAAGTTAAGGCATTTAATAATATAGTTATTAAATTAAATATAAATATCATTCACATTCCAAGAGACATAAGAAATCTGAGAAACGAAAGTGTGTATTGAACATCAAATTTCCCTTATCCGCCGGAGCTCCTCTCACATCAACTAACACACACACACACACACGCACACACAATGTGTGTGCACAGAACTAAATGAATTTTGTGTTTCCCAAAAATCGAGAGAATTTAATCATCTCTTGATACTTTTTGTTTGACTTTCCAACTACGCTGCGCTGATTATTGAAAGTTTAGCAAATGTACCTCAAATCTAAAGAGGGAAGATGTTGATAAGTAAACGTTTTTGTTTTGCTTTTAGTGTACTATATTATAGTAGAATATAGTATAATAATAGCCAATTTGTAGTAAAAACCATCCACGAAATAAAGCTTTGTGAATATACACATCAAAAATTTGTTTATATTTTAAATCTTTATCATTCATTCATCCTATCTTAATTACTTTACCATTATTATTGTTATTATTGTATTCTTCTAAAAAGTGTAAATAAAGACACTTATTTATACAAAAAAAAACCGAGAGACCCTGTAGTGTGGGAACCAAACAATTCGTAAACGAAGCGTTGTGAGTTCGAATGGCTATAAAATTGTAAGTATTTCAAATTAAATTATATATTATACGCTTGTACATGTGAAATCTTGTTTAACCACTAAGCAGACGATACTGACAATAAATTGTCTGCTTAGTGGTTTAACTTCTATTATCAAGTAACAAAAATGTATGAATGCTGTATACAGAAAAAAAATGTACTGGAAATTATACATGTTTTTCGAAATTTTAGAAAAATCTCAATAGAATTTAAAAAACAGCATAGTCTTGCGTTTTAGAAATATAGATTCTAAATAATGGGGTAAGCTGTCCTTGGAGCCAAAGTATGGCTATTATGGCAAAATAAAAACACAAGGTTATAGAAATACTTTCACTAATTTCAAATAATTGGTAAAACAATCTCGTAATGATTTCACAATTATGCGTAATGAGTACTTGGTTATTTTAAAATTAAAACCCTACAAATTTTGTTGATAGATTCATCAAAATTTGATTTGATTTTGCATATATAGATTTATTAAAATTAGTTTAATCATTTTGTATGTTTGAGTACTTACCTCGGTCGAAATGGTTTTCTCTTCATCTCTGAATTTGAAATCAGTGCCACAGTGCTCAGTACTATTATCAAAATACTCTTCAGCACACATATCGCTCGAGGGAGTGCTGAATGGAGCTGTGTTCCCTCCCGGTGGCAGGCTCGCATAACGGTTGCACGAGTCCCAGGCTGAGTTCTTATAGGGCACGGTGAAATTCAGCCAGGGCTCCTCATACAAACTGCTCGGGCTGTCACATTGCGTTATATTGCATCTAAGGGCAAACACATTTAGATGGCGATGGAGATTGAGTTGGTGTTGGGGCAACTCACCTGTGTACCACTGTGCTGGCAGTAAACACATACGAGATCGAGAAGAAGGCATTGAACACCATCGGCACACATAACAACACATAATTAATGATTTGAAATCGACCAAACTGCCCGATTCTCACCAGAATGGCATCCAGTGAGTTATCTTCAGCAGCGGATGCCTCCACGTTCCCACTCTCAGCAGCAGTCCGAGTTACAACTGCATGTCCATTGGACGTTGTTGGGCTCTCATCGGCATTGGCATTGGCATTGGCGATGTTGCCATTTCCACTCCGTTTGCCGACAGACATGTGCGCGATGGTTTGAACAAATTGTTTTCAGGTTTAATTTACTCGTTACCTTCGCGTCCACGTGTTTAAATGCACTTTTTATCTTTGTGTATATGTATGTAAGCAAGCACGATTTAAAAATATGCCGTAAACTTCGTCTGCTTTTTATAGCCCATAATAGTATATATAGCAATCGGTTTTTTCTTGAGGCCCTCAAATCCAAATCCACTGCGCTGGAGCGTCTAACTCTGAGCAATGCCCCTCATTGACTGATTCACGCAGAGCGCACCCATCAAATCAACCGGTTGAATTTGAGGTTAGACTCATTATACCCTAACAGATGCAGAGAGAGTATGACACACTTGTGTGTCTGAAACGCAAGAAATTAGTTTCGTGCTCGTAAACTATTTTTCATAAATGATCCAATAAACAATTAGAGGGAAAAACTTAACTGGATTCTTATGTGCAAGTGGAAACATATTTTAATAACAAATTCAATAAACTCCAAAATTACTAACTCTTAATTCAAAAATGATTTTAAAGAAAAACATTTGCAGACGCTTAGTATTTCAATAAGTGTACATCAATATTCGGCGTAGAAAAACAATGTATTTTTTTGTATTTATTTTCTCTTTGTAGTTGGCATTTACGCTCTATTTTTGTTTGCTTTTGACTGATTACGAGACTGGACGGAATGCTTGCCTCATTCTCGCCTCGAGAGAGATCCGCTCTCCGTCCAGTTTACTACTTTGTTTTAGTCTGCTGCTCTCCACGCGTCTCTCGCATCTGCTCGTATCTCGACCCTATCAAGTGTTTTGATTCACTTTTTATCTAATGTTGTTGGTTAATCGTATTTACCGTCCGCACCGATGAAACTCAATAAATAGCTAAACAACCTGATCATTGATTGATAACAAATATGATGGCAATTTACAACATCGTTATTGTTGTTGATTGTCTTTTATCAGAAGCCGCGCCGACATTATGTCTCGTACAAACAGCTGTTGCTGTCTGTTACCCATATCGAAAGTTCTGAATTATTTATTGACTTGCTAATAAATACCTGCTAACACAGTTCCCGTGAGAATTTTATGAGACTATTATTTCAGTTACTACGTGTGAACTCACATTCTCCATCATTGAAATTACGAAATAAGAAGATAACCAATTTAAGTTTATATTGAATGTAAATAACTCACGAGTAAATAAATCATTGATAAATTGTTATCTTCATAGAATGTATATGTGTGTTACAAACTATAAATAGATTACTAAGCATTTTACCTCTCATTCAATAACATATTGTAGTAAATAAAGATAAATCAAGTTGGCGCTAATGAATGAATGATAAATCTCTAACTGTACATTAGAATATTTATTAGAAATCAATAGTATTTGTGGCTTATTTGATTGCTTCATTTGACTTATATTTCATAATATCATTATTTATGTGCAACTCATCATGAACTGATTAGATTAACAAGCAGCACTAAAAGATTTCTTGTCAAATTCACATGTCATCAACTATTAATGGAAAAAATAAGAATACGAATACGTATACGAAAATTCATTGCACTCAAAGCTCACTTACAATTTGATATTTTTACATGCCATTTAATACGATGGTCTGTTCATAATATTTACAATTGTCAATTGAAACCAAATATTTACAGAAGCTGTGAACTGATTATACAGCAGTTTTTGTTTCTACTGATAATTTTGATTGTTTCACCGGCAGACTTTTGTCCAGGGCACGAGCCTCCTCCAATGTCGTTGGCAGCACTTTGTTGGCAGTTTCGGGGAAGAACAGGGTTAAAATTGCGCTAAGTATGCCAAATGTGGCGAACAGCAAATGCGGCGCATATTTATAGTAGTTTATCTACAATAAAAATAAGATCACGTTAATAATGGATCTCTTGTGTCAATTGTCTATCTTACCAATAGCGGAGTTTGAGGCGCCAACATGGAGCCGACGCGACCCACCATCGAACAAAATGACAGCATGCTATTGCGACAATTGGTTGGAAATATTTCTGAGGTGAAGAAATACAATATCATGAAGCTGCCAGTTTTACAGACACAGAAAGTACAGACACAAAGAGAATGTTGGGTAATCTGGAAAATGAAATTAATTTAGATTTTTATTAATGTTATTATTCAAAAACGAAAACTTTGAAAATGCAAAATTGTAATTGTGTACCGAGTAAGATATTTTATGTGCATCTCAGTTTATATTATCGCCATGAAAATATCCATACTACATATCCGAGTACATTCAAGTTTATTGAAATTTATTTTTCTGATATTATATAAAAGTTCTTTAATCTCACCCTTTTCCAAAAGCGCCATTACGATCAGTAAAATGGAACAAGTGGTGAGGCAGAAGCTCAGCGACCAGCGTCTGCCAATGCGCAGCATCATCAACGTGGCAAGCAGGATGCCGGGCAGTTGCATTAATCCCGTCATGCTAAAGTTGTAGAACTTGTTGCCATTTAATCTGCTTGCATTCAGGCTCAGACCCAGAGCAATGAACGTATTGGTGAACCACACAAAACAGCACTGAGCAATACGCAGACCGAGTGCATTGAAAATCTCACGGCCATTGTAGTGGCCACCTCCAGTTGCAACCTCCGACTGGGCCAACAGCTGGCGATTGTTGCGCAACAGTTCACTCAGTTGGGCTTCGGGCAATGACCGCCGATTGACATGCGACACATGGCGCAGAATCTGCACAGCCTCCAGCTCCCTGGACTGACTCAGCAGCCAGCGTACGCTCTCGGGCAGCAAGCAGATGAAGAACAGATGCAGCATCGCCGGAGTGTAGACCACGCGGAGCAGCCAGCGCCAATCAAGTATGATGCTGGCCAGATAGCCGAGTGCCGCCTCTGCCAAGCCATAAGCTAAACTGATGACCATGGCAGCCAGCACACGATGTTTGGGCCCCACCAGCTCGATGGCCAGCAGAAAGGCAGTGGGAAACAGTGTGCTGCCCACGGCCATGTCCAGAAACTCAAGGAACAGAAAGCTGTAATAGTTGAATGCAAAGGAGCGCGCAAGGCCAGCCAGGGCGCTCAAAACACCACTCACAACGAGCATCGACTTACGTCCGCACCTGTAAAATAAAATCAATAGTTGCGTCTGCTTCTAAGATTAAGTATACGTTTTACTCACCGATCTGCCAAGAAGCCACCCAAGGGTATGCCAACAAACTGTCCAATGTTGTTCACAGTTCCCACCATCGACAGCTGCCATTGATCTGAGCAAAAAATACCAAACTGTAAAGATAGGAAAAGTTAGCAAACGTAAATTATTTTGTACAAAATGCATATTCTAATTAGTCCACAAAATAAAAGTTTGAGTTTGTCGCCATAATGGTACATTTTAAATTCTTGCAACCCGCATTAAAATTCTTTGACTATATTAATAAATAATTGCAACAAAAACTAAAAAAAAAAATATTAAAAAAATCATTTTGATTTTGAGTTTTTCAGTTAAGCACACCATAAATATAAAACGCATATGTTTGCCTAATTTATTTTAAATTAATTAAAGCCCAGTTATAAATGTGAAATTATTATTATTCCTGATTGATTTGGAAGTGCCACAATGTTTGGCGCCCATAATGGTATATATTATATATTATATTCCATTTTTATAAATTAATGTAACAACAACAAAATCTCAAAAATGATAGACTACGTTTTTTTAAATATACATCGAATATGTTTCAACTACATTTTATGACAATTATAAATGGTTAATTAATGAAAGCCCAGAAAGAAAAATAAAATGCTTTTTCATTAAAAAAAAATCACAAAATGAATTATTTTGAGTTAAACAAAAGACTATTTAGAAGCGACAACTAAAGCTGATGATAGTCTTTGATCAAACTCACCTCTGAGGATATGGTTATTTCATCACCCCTTAGCTTGTAGCCCGCTTGGCAGTCAATAGGATGGCTGCTATTAAAATAAGAGACTTCACATTGGCCACCATTTTCTGGTGTTGCCTCATAAGCCTTGCACTGATCCCAGGCTCCATTATGCTGGGGGATCGTAAAGTTTAACCAGGGCTCAATAAAGCTGCTGTTTGGACTATCACATTGGCTGATATTGCATCTGTAAAAAGCTGTATTTAAAATAAAATTCATCAATCACAATTTTGTTACCTGTGCACCACAGCGCCGGTCGTAAAGACATAGGATATCGAGAAGAAGGCATTGCATATGATGGGCAAACAGAGCAATACATAGTTGATAATCTGGAAGCGTCCGAATTGACCAATCTGAATAATAAATGCATCGAAATGATTCTCGTCCGTGGGCGTTGCGTCTGCTGTCTTCTCTTGAGCTGTCTCTAAATCCAACTGCGGCTGTGCCATGCTTCAAGCAGAGGCGACTCGAGGCAACTGAATTGGGCAGTGCCTCACGTGCCTCACTGCCTCTCATTTGTAGTCTTGACGCACACGAACAACGCATTTAATTGACCGCGATATCCATGATGTAGATGGAGGGGGGTGTAGCTGCGGAGGAAGCTGGTTCCATACAGCTTTTTCACACGATTTCAATAAGCGTCGCCAGAAACTTAATTGCCTACGGCTCATATTTTAAGCACTGAAATCTTAGCTCTAATGCAGTTTTCACAGCTGTGCGAAGGTATTGAACCACTGCCAGCTTAATAATAAATAATTGAGTGGACTCTTTATCATACAATTGATGTTCTTTATTGTTACAACATTATGCAAGAATTTAAAAAATATCACTTGTATTTTTTGTATGTGGGTAAGAGAGAGAGAATGTTTAGCTAAAATTATAATACCATAGTTATGATTACTAAAGCTAACTCAAACATCGAACTTAGAATAAACGAGAAGCGGGTGCTCAGTGAGCTCAAGAATTTGTTCTCAATAACAGATTTAATTTGGTGTTTGTTTTTTTTCTTCTTTTTTTGTTTGTGAGCCGCTTTACAGGCCTTTAACTGGTTTAAAATATGGCGTGTCACTAGCGAATACTGCACATAAATGTCTACTTTAAGTGTACAACCTAAATAAGTAAGTCGTAAATCTTTTCTATAAACCACTTTTACAAATACCGATCGAACTGTTGCGTTTGTATTAAAAACATAAATATCAATAAATATTGCCTCGTTATTGAGACTATAATAATAACTCTACATGCATACATATATGCGTATGTACTGTGATATCTATATATATATATATATATATATATATAAACCGATACATTATACACTTGCTGCTCTGAGACGCAACTACAACAAAGTTTATGATTTATAGTTTATACCAATCAATCTTATGAATTTGCAATATGATAATATTCGAACTAGTTAAAAGAGGAATGCTCCATCTACAGATACAGATACAGATACAGATTAGACCCAGACTATTCATAGATTATACATAGGATTACTGGTTGCATCGAACAGTTGAGTGCCCGTCGACTCAATCATGGAACGCAGTGCAATGCTCCGCTGCTTGGCCACCGCCTTGCGCAGAGTCAGCTCAAAAACATTCTCCTCATCAATGTTATCCATGGGCAAATGTTCCCTGCTACCCTCCGGCTGATCCGGTCGCTTAAATACCAATTGCTCGTGCTCGTACAATACGAAAGTTTCCGCAAATTCCTTAGCAAAGTATTGTGCCGTATTCCGATTCTGTATAACCTCGCTGGGAAAGCATTGCAGCAGCTCTTCAAAGCTCAGCTCCGCCACCAGATTGTTGAGTATCTCTGTGTAGGTAATACAATTAGATCAAATACTCCTTGCATAGATATATTTATACGAAATTTAACCTGCAATGTGTGTCTTCCAATTAGGCAGCGCATCCTGTTTGCTTAATATCTTGCGCAGCAGCGATTCCCAATGTTTGGGTGTAAACCCACAGGACTGGAGGCATAATTAATTAGTTTAAGAGCATAATAAATAAAATAGACAATAACTCACCTTGCCGTATTGCCACAAGAATGCTGGGCAAAAGCTCAGCATATAGTTGATGGCCAAATTCTTGGGTAATATGATGACCAAGAAACTATCAACGCCTATCAAGTGCGGTGATTTCGGTATGAAAGCCAAAAACTCCGAAATTATCTCCCGATCCACCTTGCTGGAGGCCAACAGACTTTGAATCTTCAGAGTCAACGTCAGCAGCTCATTGTGCCAGCTAGTGAAACGTACCTCGAACTCGCCCTCATCCTTCTTGGGATAGCTGAAATCGCTGCGCTCAAAGGGCGGCAAGCGATTCAAGTACTGCGGTCGCTCCAGAAGACAGGGAATCGGTCGTATATAGGACTTGATATGCTGCTCGTACTCCTCGCCCTCGGGCAGCTTATAGTCGGGTATATAGGGCACATATATCAGTTTGTTGGATAAAGTTTCGTTGGCATGCCGTACACTTGGCTTGTTGCAGTAATTGGGCGCCATGCCAACCATGTAGGCGATGCATTCCATGCGCAGATTGAGGAAATCTTCGCGACTGCTCTGCTGTTCGACATCGGCGGACTGCAGATCGGTGATTAGATCACTCAGCGCCTTCAGGCGGCCCATGTACATGCGAAAGAGTATTTTGAGACCCTTCAAATTGGTGGCAGCCACATCATCGTCCGGTTGCGGCTGCGACAGCGACGCATTCGAACTGCGCTTCTGATAGGGCGATCCGCCCTGTTGCTCCTGCAGCTGATCGTAAACAATGCGCTGCTGGCGTCCACTTATCGAGCGCTCATCTGGTGCCGAACTGGCGCAGGAGCTGGACAGCGAATGGACATCCGCTTCGCTGTGCAGCGATGGAGCACGCGAACTGCTGCACTCGTCATCGTAGTCGTCGTCCAGCTGCGGCGGCGTCTGGGAGCGCACCTCATGCGACTGCAGCGACGAGCTGACATCGTACAGATCGTAGTAGAAGACTTGCAATATGCTGACGAACACCTTCTGCGAGGTTTGGTAGCCCTTCTGACCAATGTGCGAGGCAATGTAGTTGAGGAACAGCTGCAGCACCACATCCAGTGTAATACTATGCTCCATGCACAGTGCGTGTATGAATGCATCGCATATGGCCTCAATTAGAGCGGGCTGCTCGTTGGCCAACAGAATCGTCTCGCAGAAATCGGAGAACGAAACAATTGCGCTGGGCGTTGGCGTCGGCATGGCTCTGATTTGTCCGCCTGCAGATTTGCCCTTGGATTGTGTGGCGCCACGACGAGAACGCTTGCGAACCGTTGATTGGGACTGCTGCTGCTGCTGGTGCTGGTGCTCGGGTTGCTGGCGACGCTGATAGAGCACCGTGCTATCATCGAAGAGAACATTCTTGTGCTTGATCAGGGCCACGGCTAAAGTGCGACGCGTCGACTTGGCTATTATTTCCTGGGCCAGCAGATAGTTGGACATGCGACAGGCTGTCACAGCCAGCAGCAAATTCTCATCGGGTGTGCTAAAAGATATATTTTAAATAAGTAATAGATTCAGTTTATTAACTCCATTGATACTTACGGCGTCGTCAAGTACTTCAGATAGTTGATCAGCTCACCGCTCATCGCATCGGCAACCACAGGTGAACTGAGCATTATGTGTGCCAAATCACCTGGCGCATGATTGATGAACATGTTAAGAAATTCAAGCGAGAGCGGCACCTGCTTATAGCCCTGTTGCAGCACTCGGGCTGGTGTAAAATACGCGGGCACCGTTTGATGTAGAAACGAAGAGCGCAGACGATCCGTGCCCAGGCCAAGCAGAAACAGTTTCACGGCATAGATGAGTCCAACCAGCTGCGATGTTTCCACCAACTGCTCACTGTTCTCGAACTCCCGAATGTAGTTGTTGTAAATGTCTACGAGTTGAAGCTGGCACATCTTGTAGTAGCCAGTGGCTTGCAAATAGACTTCTTGCTTGTTTGAGCTGTTTAAGAAGAAATAAAGAGAAATTAATTATGAAATAAAGAATATTGTAATTTTAATAACTTAAGAAAGAAAGATAAAAGAGATCATTTGCCCTGAACTATATTATTATTAATTATGATCAATTTTAAACGTCTTGTTCCTTTAATAACATTTTCACATTTGTGGTTAGTCTTAACTAATTCATACTAACTCTTTTTTTTTGTCTGATTGGGATTTTTGCGGGGTTCCCCAATCCGTGCAACAAATGATGGACTATTTTGCATTTACATACGCCCAGAAATCTTATAAATATGTCGAATTATTCCGTAACTTTTAATCTTCAATTTTAATTTTTATTTAATCTGCTTTTACTTTATTTATTATATTTGTTTCGACGGACTTTAGTTGACAATAAATAAATAAGTAAACAAATGAATATAGAGTCTTAATACAATAATGAAAATAAATAAGTTGTGATTTCAACTAATAAAGAATATCGTAGGATAAACTTGAAAAAAAAAACGAATCATTTTTACAAATCTCAATTTTGATTGAGTAAATTAATCACTTACCGTATTGAGAAGTCGGCCAATTTTCGGCAATTGGACATAAACATTTTGCGCAGCGCCTGCTCCCTGTCCACGACGAGACGCTCGCCCTGCAGGGTTAGGCTCAGCCTGAGCATGACATGCGCCTCCTCCATGAGATCGTAGAAGTTGGAGCTGCTCGCACTGCGATAAGATTCGGCAATGCCCTCGAGATCCTCAATGACGTGCTCCACCCGTGGCACCTCCAGATTGTACAGTGTCCACTCATTCACCACCGAGGAGGGGGCAGCACAACTGCTGCTCCTCAGCAAGCTGCTGTGCTTGGCCTTGGCCTCTGCCAGCAATCGAGCGGCGATGTTTCGTTTAACTGCCACCACGGCCACCTCGCCAGTGCTGCGACGCTTGTGCAGCTCGAGCGCCGCATTCGTGATCAACACCAGCTGCTCCCGATTGACGCAGACAAACTGAACGTGCATAAAAGCAGCTAGACCAATGACTGCAATCGCTGAGCTGACATCCGGCGAGGATTCCTCGGGAAATAGGGCCCCAATGCTTGGATACTCGAACCGATTGTGAAACAGTTTGTGACCAATGCGCGAAGTGTGCGTCTCCACGGACTCCGAGGTGACGGCATAGATGACATAATCATTGATATGCACCTGCAACACGGGTGCCGTAAAACTATAGCTGGCCACCGGCTTCTCATTCTCGCTGTACCACTTGCCCTGCGCACAGAACTGATACAAATAGCCATCTACACTACTGGCCACGAGCAGAGCATGCCCCACACAGCGCTGATGCTGCGAGGATTTCAGAGTGCGTCGATTAGCATGCTTGAACGTGGTCACAGCACTGGGCACCTGCTGATTGCCCATCTCATACTCATCATCCTCATCCTCCTCCAGCTGCGGCTGCTCGCTGCTGCTGCGCTGATAAATCGCCTTCAAGTCCATGCAGCGCAATATATCCAAAACCCTCGATTGAGGCTCCGATGTCCTCATGCAGATCTGGAGCAGTTTGCGGACGTCGTACTGTACGGATACATCCTCCGTCAGACTGTTGTTGCCACCGGTTGCAATGCCACGCACATTCATCGCCTTCGCCTCGTTGATGAGCTTGATTTTGATGTCGGCGGCGCGCTGAGGCGATATGGTTATCTCCTGGCTATTATCCTCCTGGCGACCGCTGCCATTCTCGCACTGATCCCACTGTGAGCGCAACTCGGGCTCAAACTCGCGTCCATAGGCGGAGTTCACCATTCGTGCCACATTGAAATCGAGGGGCGTGCGACCAGCCAAGCCCGGATGATGATTGGCCAGATTGGCGGGCTTCGCGCTGCTGGAGGATTGCAGTGAATCGCTGTCGCAGCTCTGCTGACTGTGCGTACTGCTGACAGCCGCAGCGCTTGCCTTGCTGCCCAAGCTGAGGGACTCGGACAGTGGCTCATCGCCGACATAATCGTTGTCCAGGCAGCTGAGCTCACGAGCAGCTGCCGGTGATGCTGCTGTTGCCTTGCTGGCCAGTGCATCCACAACTTTGAAGGCAACGCAATAGCGATGACTCAGACAGGCGATGACATTCTCGGCCAGGCAGAGGCGTAGCGGTACAAAGTTCAGCTGCACAAAAAACTTGAAGGGCAGAAAGTCGATGAAGGAGAATCTCGGCTGGGTATTCTCATGGACACACTGCGTATACTCGTACAGATAGATGCGATCCCGGCTGCTCACGATGATGTTGCCCGACGTTTGGCAACACTGCACCAGCTCGGGTGGACTGCGCAGTGGCAACTCAATCACATCGATGCTCTCCACCAGCGGCGTCTTCGGCGTCGTCATCGACGCGATGCGTATTGTGATGGGCAGCTCGTTCAGCTTAGCATCGGGAAACTTCCAGAAGTTTGCATAGATGCGCACGAACATCTTCGTCTCATCTTCGGTGCAAACGGTGTTGCTGTTGCTGCTCGATGTGCAGCTAATGCTGGTGCTATTCGAGTGCACCGGGCTCCCAGCCTGCTCCTTCTCCAGCGTCAGAAGGTATTTGCCTGCATACGAGAAATTAGCACATCAAATTAGAACTCCAACATAAATTGCAGTTGGCATATTTTTAAAGCCATTTTGAATAAATTTCATTGGAATTTTTGAAGACTTAACAATGAGTTGTTGATTTAAATAAGTACATTTTTATACAATCATATATACATATATGTATATTGGCGACTGTAACATCAAAATAGCACGTTAAATTTAAATTGCAGTTGGCATTTTCTAAAAGACATTTTTAATTAATTTCATACGCATTTCTTAGTTTTGTAGTATCAGTTGTGTTATTAAAATTCCTTTTGTTGCAGATAAATCTGATTATAAATTTATTTTTACTAACTCATATAATTAGTATTAATTATAAAACAAATAAATAAGACTGAAATAAAACAATAATAATAATATTATATATATCTATATATATAGGCAAATAATTTAACAATATTTTAATTTTCATTAATTCTGATTTGATCTGATCTGATCTGAAGGGAAACAATTTACAGAAAAATATATCGAATTCTCTTCACCCTTGGAAAAGTGTGAAAAGTATGTAAATATCCACAGATTTGTACATTTTGTAAATACCGTCAAGTTTTTTGAAGCTTAAGAAGAAGCTCTGACTCTGAATTCTTTAAAGTCATTATATGTGTATCTGAAACATTGAGCCAAAACTTGATCGATTTTCGGTTTGCTGAACGAAATTTGGCTTTTGAATTTGACTTATTTTATGAACAATAATCATTTTAACTTTTAATTTATTTAAATAAATTTTTATTTATTTTCTTATTTTTTTAATTTATTAATTCCTGTAAAAAGCCATCGTTGAAATTCATTCGAAGAAAATATGTTGAAAAGTGTGAAAAGTATAAAAATATCGATTGATATAAGATTTATATTTTTTTATTCCATTAAGAATTTTTAAGTAAAAACTAAAAATGTTGTGAAGCTCTGTATTCTTTGAACATTAGTTAATTATGCCATACTAAATCTATATCTTTTTAAAGAAAATCTAAAACACAAATATATAATAATGTAAGAATAACTTTTAAATAATATTTACTTATTAAAGGGTAATCATTTTAATCAGTCGGTAATTTTGTATTATTTGTTTAATTTTCAATTGCTATTGGCTAAACTAAACACACCTCGTTGAAGTCTATTTAAAGAAAATACCTGTCATAACATTCGTTAACAATTAACGAAGCTTTAGGGCTTACCCGCTTCGCAGTAGATTAGCTGCACCACCTCACCCACCGTGGCCAGTGTGTACCTGTTTGGCATGCGCTCATCGCTCGCTGGCGTGGGTGAGGCTGCATCTCCTGTGCCACCAGCAACTGAGGCATCCTCCTGTTGCTCCGATTGCTGCTGCTGCTGATGGTGTTGTTTAGCAGCTATGTCATAGATCTCGATGAACTGCTCGGCGCTGCTGATGGCGATGCGATTGTTGCCTATCAGGGTGGCGGCCAGAATGTCGCCATTGAGTGCATATGTCTGCTGCCTGGCAAAGTTGTAGGCCTGTAGAATCTTCACCATGTCAACAGGCGTCCTCACTGCGAGCACTCAAGTAGAAAAGTAAACGAGACACTTAAAAATCACTCAAATCAAATAGAATTCGAAATTCTGCAGTGTGCGATACAACGCCTCAGTGACTTCATCGTCCGGCGTCCGTCGTCCGACTGAGACTATCTCTCTGAGTTGTGCGAGTCGCTTGCTGTTGAATGTTAAATGCCCCCAAAAGTGTCGACACTGAGTGGGTTGTCTACTGGCTACTGGCAGGTGGGGGAAGGGGAAGAGGGTTGGGGGAAGGAGAAGGGGAAGGGGGTCGGTCAAGTGGTTGTTGCTGAGCCATTAGCATAATTGTGCGTTTATGCTGGAGCCAGGGTAGCAGACAGCAGTAGCGTAATTCTAGTAAATATATTCAGTTGAGGGTTTGCCATCTTGAATTACCACAATTTCATTTAAAGAAATTCTCAATAATTCATTAGGGATTAATATGCGGGTCAAACCCAATTATCAAATAAGGAAAGTTAATAAAATATAAAATTACTTTGTCAAGTCTGCAACCAAAAATCATAAATAAATTTAATTCTTAACATATAATTAATCCCATGCGTTTTAGAAAGTTAATAAATATGAAATGACTTAGTCAAGACTACAACATAAAGTACTACGAAATTTAATTACCAAAAATACTAATCAAAGGGGGAAATATCTATCATAAACTTTTTGATAGGTGTATTTAATATGTTTTATATAAAACTATTTATTAAAGACCTAATGTATGAAATGTAGATTCCAAAAATAGCATTAGTCAAATGAGTTTAAGTAATCGCAAAGATCCTCAACAAAGTAAGCAAATAATTTATACACTCATTATCAAAGTTAACAATGTTACACAAATCGTTAAGTGATTTTTGATGGACGTGTCATTCGATATTACAACAGGTCAGTGGTGCACCTGCCACTTCCTCTTCCTCCTTCTGTTAGCCTCATAAGCCATTCAGAATTAGGTCACAAAAACACACCTTTACATGACACACACACAAATAGCAAAGACCACAACCATAACCCACACCAACAACGAAAACAAAAACAAAACAAGCAAGTCAAATCGCTTAGGCAACCAGCAGAGGCTGTCAGTATTTAGGCATGCAATAAATATAACTGCCACTTGACTTGGGCTGGGCAGTTTCTACGTGCGTTTACCTAATTAAGCCATAAGTTGGCCACACACGTAAAACACTAAATACAAATCAAGCAAGCTATGACATTTTTCGAACATGACGCACAGCTCAAAAAAAGCCGCAGGAAGAGTAACAGGGAACAGAATAGAACACAAACCGGAAATAGATCAAACAAAGCGCGACACGAAATATTCTATTTTTGACCAGTCGCTGGTCAAACGCAAATCGATAATTGCTCCGATAATAAATGGCGTGCATTAACCCAAAATGATTTAATCGCTGCGCATGTATATGTGTTGTGTGTATGAGTATATGACTGTTTGTGGGCGTGTTTGAGTGCTTTTTATGTGCAATGCATTTGGCAAGCGGTATTCGAAAAAATCAATAGCTCTGCGGCTTGCCAAAAATGTATTAAAAAAAAGCCGCAGTCAGACCAATCTACTTAAAAATGGATTAAACACTATATTAACATAGATTTACACTCCTAATATAAGCATTAAATAATACTTAATTATTATTCATTCCACATCATTAATTATTCAAACAATTTATTCGTACATTCCAAAAAGCGGAAGTAGCTTCGTTGGCAGCGCAGTGCAATTTCGTGCCGCTTTTGACACTTAGTTTAGATTTGTGGGCTAACCACCCGTTTTAAATAATTTTTAATGCACTTAAACATATTTATTTATTTATTTTTAGACGCACAACAAAACTAATTCGCCTGTTTACATTTTTTCGATTTCGGCGTTGCCACATGGCAAACAGAAGTGTTCCCAACTAAACAGCTGATTTCAGTAAAAATCGATGCTTAATTTTCGATACATATCAATATAATATAGTCCAAGTTATCGCATCGCTACAGCTGTTGGACGCTTGTTGATTGTGAAATTCACCGCGCAATTCAGAAAACATGAATAAAAATACAATCTTAAGCTAAAATCATGAGTAATTCAACGCGTGCCTATGTCGGCATGCAAAACAAATACGACCGCGTCGTGCTGCTCGTTGACATGGATTGCTTCTTCTGCCAAGTGGAGGAGAAACAACAACCCCAGCACCGAGGAAAACCCCTCGCCGTCGTCCAATACAACGCTTGGCGCGGCGGTGGCATCATCGCCGTCAACTATGCGGCACGCGACAAAGGCGTCACGCGCCACATGCGCGGCGACGAGGCCAAGGCACTCTGCCCCGACATCGTTCTCTGCCAGGTGCCCAACATCCGCGAAAAGGCGGACACCAGCAAATATCGCGATGCCGGCAAAGAAGTGGCAAATGTCCTGCAACGTTTCACACAGCTACTGGAACGCGCCTCCGTCGATGAGGCCTATTTGGACATCACCGAAACGGTCAACCAACGCGTGCAACAGCTCGAAACGGTGAGTCCCTCAGCTCCTTCCAAACATGATTCTTATTCGCAAATAATACTCATTTACAGTTGAAAAACCACAGTTTTACTACGTATGAAAAAACAAGCAAACAAAATTAGTTCGTGCAATTTTTTCAATATATTGTTTAGTATCATATATGTATATTATCAATTAGAGTTGTATATTATATAAGCATATATTTTTTCTTCTTTCTTTGAAGGAAAAAGTTCAAAAAAGAAAACAAATATCACAACTTGCGCACTTTTTAGAAATCGTTTATTTATTTCTAATTTTCATAATTATAAGTGCACATTAAAGATAATTTTTTTTTATAAATTTGCTTACTTTTTCATCAAATTTAGTTTTTTAATTTGCATTTCTATTTATTTATTTAATGTCAACTAAACGCAGTCGACACAAAATGTAAAAAAAAATACATAAAGTAAAAATTAGATGAAATTTAACTAACAATAGAGTTTAATATTAAATTAAAATTAAATGCAAAATTGTTCAACTTTTTACTGCATTTGTTATGAAAACTCAGAAAAAACACAATCAGACAAATAACAGTATAAATTAGTTAAACCCATCCAAATTGCATGTAAAAATGTTATTCACGAGAAAATACACTTAAAATTGATTCTTAATGATAAAAATAGAGGACTTTCGGTGAGTGCAATTGTTTTTATTTTCCATCTCAGTATTTTTATATAATAGACACCTTTGAAAACATTTATTATTTTTCAATATTATTATTATTATTATTTTCGCAACTGTATAGATGGAAGTCACATATTTTAGCCGGATTAATAGTTGTGATATAATTTTAAAAATGCAGAAATATTTAAAATATATAAAAATACGTAGAAACATATAATACATTATCTATAGCAATTCTGAAAAATTTCCAGAATACATTCAACAAGCAATGTCAAAAACCAACAACCAGGAATTTAAGAATTCAAGGAACCCAAGTCAAGAAAAATGAATCAACGAGCGATTACTATAAGTAAATTAATAGTTTCATTTTTGATTTGCAGGGCTCGCTTGCACTAAAGCCAGAGGAGCTGGTCAATAGTTATGCCGTCGGCTACGAAAACATTGGCGACTATGTGAATAAGATAACAAAGCGCTTTGCCAATCCCTATGTGGATGATGAGCGTTTTATGCTGGCCTATGATGCCAACGATTTGCCCGCTGTGCGCCAGAGCGATCTGCGTCTCCTCATCGGGGCATGCATTGCGGGCGAGGTGCGTGCAGCGGTCAAGGCGGAAACTGGCTACGAATGCTCAGCGGGCATTGCACATAACAAAATTCTGGCCAAGCTGGTGGCGGGCATGAATAAGCCCAACAAGCAGACAATTCTACCGCTGGCCGAGATACCCGCTCTGTTCGATCAGCTACCAGTGGGCAAGATCAAGGGATTGGGCGGTAAATTCGGGGAGACAGTTTGCGAAACGCTGGGCATTAAGTTTCTGGGCCATGTGCTGAAGTATACTGAGAAGGAGCTGCAACGCAAGCTGGACGAGAAGAGCGGGTAAGTCACTGGTTCAATTTAAGTGGTAAGTGAATTGAATTTCGATTAGTAAAATTTGAATTTCTATTTAGCACCTGGCTACATCAGATTGCATGTGGCATTGACTTGGAGGCAGTCACGCCTCGATTTTACTCCAAGAGCATTGGCTGCTGCAAGAAATTTCCCGGTCGCAACAACATAACCGGACTCAAGAGTCTGCAGCACTGGCTTGGTGAGTTGGCAAGCGAAATGAACGATCGTTTGGAGAAGGATTTCATCGAGAACAACCGCAAGGCAAAACAAATGGTTGTGCAGTTTGTGCAGGATATCGGTGGCGAGGAGGTGTCCAGCTCCCGTTCCTCGCCACTCAACCATTGCGATCAAGATACCCTGGCCAGACAAGCACTCGAACTGATCAAAGCCAACACAAAGACATTTCTGCGAGCTGGCAGCGATGCGGCCCTCAATAATGCCGTCAAGTTTCTGGGCATCAGCGTAGGCAAGTTTGAGACGGCATCGAATACGCAGAACAGCCTGCAAGCCATGTTTGCCAATCAGGCAGCCAAAAAGCGTCGCATTAGCGTTGAGGAACCAGTGGAGAAGCCAATTGTCGAGCAGAAGCCGAAGCAATCCGAAGAGGCGAAAATGAAAAGTTTCTTTGCCAATTACTTGCAAACGCACAAAGACGAAAAGATTGTGAAGGATAACTTAATAGTTGAGTCGAGCAGAAGAGCAGATGAAACTGAAGCTGAAATTGAGTTGCAAACAAACAAATCGGAAACTGATGAAGATGCAAATGCCCTGAAATTAGCTCCGTCACCCAAGAAGAGCTTCTTTGAAGAATATAAGCGGAAACTGATTGATTCCTCTGTGGCACAGGAGATCGGCGACGACAAGGCAGGGCCTGTTGCAACGCCACCCGAGTTTAAGGAGAGCTTCTTTGCCAAGTATCTACAGGAGCAGAAGGAAGTCAACAAAATAGCAGAGCTGCCAAATGAGTCATCCACTGAAGGTGACGACTCCTCCGATATGCACGGCTTGGCCGCCGAACTGGATGACATCGAATCAAGTTGTATTGTTGAACAAGAAGCCAGCACATCGAAGCGAAAACTTGAGCAAGAAAATTCCATGGATGCACCAGCGCCAGCAAGCGATTATAGAAGCAACTACGCTGAGTACGCTCAGCCGGAGCTGCGTACAGATCTGGTCAAAATGGTCAACTGCAAGGAGTGTGGTGCACAATTGCCCGACGATGTGACGGCACTGCAAACCCATCGGGATCATCACTTTGCCCAGCAACTGAATCAACAGCTGCGCGAGGAACAACGTGAGGAAAGGCAACGCAGTCGACTAAACGCTACACTTAACACTACAGTTTCAGTTCCTTCACCCACGGCAAAGCCTGCGCCGCTAAAGAAAGCTAAAAAGGCAGCTGGAACGGTTGCAACAACTTCAGCAAAGCCTATAAACACCATCGCCAAGTTTCTAGCCGCCAAGCAGCCACTTGAGCCACCTCCGAGCTGCAGTAGTTCACCCCTTGAGCTCTGCCCCGAATGCAAGACCTACGTGAAAAGTGTCGATATGCCGGAGCATTTGGATTTTCACATGGCCAGAAAGCTGCAGCGTGAGCTGAACCAACTGGAAGTGCGCACAATAAGCACCGCCAACATCAAGAAGACCTCCCCGCCACCTCGTGCCAAAAGGCAGCTGAACAGTACCTTAAACTCTGCCACGGGAAACAAGTCCATTACTCAATTTTTCACTCAAAGCAACTGAGGCTAATCTGAAGTCAATCAGAAATCATCATCAGATGCCGATGGCCATATAATAAGTTCAAGTATTATTTTCTGGAGAATGTCTGTGCGTTATCTATTAAATAGTTTAGTTCCTAACTGAGAAAACCGTTGCTTTACAGTCTTTGCAATTAATTTAATCAATTGCCATCATGACTTGAAAAGCGATCCCGCTGCCATAATAAATCAGAATAAATAATAATAATAAATCAAAATAAACTATATTACAATCCTTAAAGATTGCATTTTGTGTGTAAGAAGGGCGTGCCACACACGTGCCGTGCGGACACACTTCTTATGTGAAATATATATGTATAAACATTGCAAGAAACTTCCATAATCATAATCAATAAATTAAGAATTTTCAGTATTCATTTTCATTGCACAGAATTTAATGATTGAGTTTTTAATAATTTGTCGGAAAATGAGAAAGGCATCAATAGAGACCTATCCGACTCCATAAGATATTTAAATTCATGGGTAATCGAAATTTATATAGATTCCAGATAGTTCAGTCAGACCGTATTTGGTTGATCACATATCGATTGATATATGTCATTCAGATATATGTAAATATGTATTTGAGTGAAACATCTTTGAATCTTGCCATATTTATTGGATGCACCAATTAAATAATAATGAATATAGCTGGCAGATCGAATCATTTTTGGCGAAGATATGGAATCGTTAGTTTTTGAATTTTATAAAAAAGCTTCAAACGTGATATTCTCCAAATTATATGTACATAAAAAAGATCTGCAGAGAAGAGAAGAGAGCAGAGCAGAGTAGAGCAGAGAATAGATTAGTTGTGCAAATATTTGTTTATTTCTATTTTGGGTTGTTCATTTTTCACTTCGCAACTTAAAGCTATTTCAATAATAGATGTTACGACCGATAGATATATTTATTTCATTGCTTAACATAATTAGTCAATAGCATATTAACTCAATTGAATACACAGTTCTTAACTTTAGTGTTTATGTTTCTAATATATATAATATGACATGTTGCCTCTAAAAGTAGCATATATTGCAATCAAGTTTTATTATTTTCCAGTGTTCTTCAAAATATATGAGTATATATCTAAAAATACATTATATACCTATATGTATGTATAATCAAGGGCGTGCACAGTTTTTCGTAAAGGGGGGTCGGATTGTAATATTGTCACGCATTTTAAGCTAAATCACTTTTCTAAAATTCTAATCAAAAAATAACAAATGCAATGTTCTTGGGAAATTGACAAGAAAATGTAGACTAATTAACTCTCCTTCCCCACTCTGTGTATGCCCCTGTGTATAATAATAAATGATGCCAAGTTGTGTCTTTGAACTGTCGTGTGCTTTAATTGTTGAGTTAATGTTGCTTACTGATTATTTAGATGCTACTTAGCGGGAAGGTTGAGCTCCAGATCCTTTGGAGGTTTCTTCTTGACCCCAATGGCGTCCGCTTCCTTCACCGTGGTTGGCAGTACAAGATTGGTGGTCTCGGGGAAGTAGAGCGTTAGACAGCCGCTAAGGATGGCACCACAGGCAAACAGAATGGCGGGCGCACTGGGATAATACTTGGCCTAAATCGAGAAAATTATGTTAATCTTTAAATTTGCAAGGAAGGAAATTTAGCAAGGACTCACCAAGAACGGCGTCTGCGGCGCCAGCATTGAACCAAATCTGCCCATCATGGAACAGAAGCTAAGCAGGCTGTTTCTAAGGTTGGTGGGAAAGATTTCGGATGCAAAGAAATAGAGCACTTGGAAACTGGCCGTGATGGTCAGCTTGCCCACCAGGAACAGAACCAGTTGCAGCACCTGCTGATCGCCCCCCGCAAAAATGGTGCCAATGCAGCACAGACCACTGAACAGCATCAGGCCACACAGCGAGTAGCGTCTGCCAAACCGATCCATGATCAGCAGAGGCAAAAAGAAGCCCGGAATCTCGACGAGTGCAATATAGGCAAAATTGTTGTACTTATCGCCATCCAGCAGCACCACATTCAAACTGAGTCCATAGTACACGAGCACATGGACAATCCAGCAGAAGGAGCAGTTGGCGATGCGCCATTTGAAGTTGGTGAACGCCTCGCGAATGGGAAATTTACCCTCTTCGGATTGCTCCAGCTTATTCCGATTGGCAATCACCAGCTTGTCCAGTACACTCTCCGACAGCCTGCGCTGATTCACCCTGGCCGCCCTGCGCAGAATCGCCTTGGCTCGCTCCTCCTTGCCAACGCTGAGCAGCCAACGCACGCTCTCGGGCAGAATCCAGAAATAGGCCAGCAGAATCATCGCCGGCCCGTAGGTAATCCTCAGCACATGGCGCCAGTCCTCGAAGGCCTTGGCAAACATGGCCAGAGCCACTTCGCCGATGGCATAGAAGATTGTTATCACGCTGCAGGCGAGCACTCGTCGCTTCGGACCCACGAGCTCAATGCCAATGACAAAACAGGTGGAGTACAGCGTGCCGCTGGTCACGTTGTCGAGGAACTCAAAGATCAGGAACCAAACATAGCTGGGTGAATAGGAGCGCACAATGCCCAGCAAGCCGCCCAAAATGCCGGCCAAGGCAATCGAAAAACTGCGACCATAACTGCAAACCAATGGAAAGAACAATTAGAATTATTATGGGAAAAGTTTTGCATAGAATCCGATTCTCTTACCGATCTGCCACAATGCCTCCCAGCGGTATGCCAAAGAATTGTCCCAGATTGTTTATGGTACCGACAAGTGATAATTTCCATTCATCTTCGCAGAAAATTCCAAACTACGGGCATAATAAGATTCCAAAAGGCATACTTAATCACTATTTATTTGATATGCCCCCCAACAATGCGAATAGTAAATAATGGAAAAGTTTCCGCAGTGCTTGATTGCAACAACACAATTATTTCACAGCTCATTATTCACTTGAGTCGTCAGCTCGTCTGCTCGACTGCCCGTCTTCTTACTATACGATTTGCTCTGATTTGCATATCTAATCTAAAAATTGTGCATATGAATGTGTGAATGCCGCAATTTCTTTTGCCCCTGAAAATGAATGAAATGAATGTATGATTGAGGCAGGCCAGACTCAGTCGAGACGAGCCTACAACACTCACTTGTGGCACATTTATGTCTTACGTCCACACCCCAATAAGTCAAGTGATAAAAATTTGAAATTTGAATGTGCAGCTTATCAAACGCTACGTATGGTAAACATAAACAAACTGAATACAATAATAAACAATGAAATTACGGAATTGTTATACTATTTCGGTGGGTTGCTTTCTTAGTGCCCAATTGGCTTAAAGTACGCTAAAAGATCCATTGAGATTGTTGTTTCAGTTGTTGTTATCAGTCATTTCATTTCGTTCCATTTGTCTTTATCTTTATCGTTAAAATTAATCACTTTTAATAAGACCGCAAAAATTAAGTGACGCTTTGTGATTTTAAAAATGAGTTAAAATAAAGTTAAATCAAATAAGATAATTTTTCTTCGATAGCTTAATTCTGTGGCAGCTTATAAATTTGACTTCCTTATCTCGTTGAATCAATTTAATACTTTTCAAATACTTAATTTCAACAACGTTGATATTAATCCATAAAAATGTAAGTATTTTTACTTAACAAACACCTCCACTGAGTAAGAAAAGCAATCAATTATTGTTTACAGTGTACCCTACAAGCAATCGGTGACCGATAATTAATTGAAAGGCGCCATATTAAAGAAGAATAAAAATCTATATAGATAAATCCGAAAAGGCGTTATTGGCAACTTACTCAGGCAATCAGTCACTCACTTGTTGGAGCTGAGCACTATTTGTAGCAGTCTATCCTATTATTATCTTAACTATTACTTGGTTAAAGGCCCCGATTGTTGGCACTTGTCTAATCAATGATTATAAATAATTGACAAGCATGAAAATCGCATGTCTGGTTGAATTTATGCCCTATTGATACAGATGGGAAATTGATAATCGGATTTGTGGCACGTGACTAGAAGAGTTCGCCAGCGAACACCTCAGTGCGCTCCTGAACTCTCGCTTGGTCCAGTGTAATGTGCAGAAATCTGATGACTTATTATCAAAGTCCATGCTTGTCAGAGTCTGGTGTTCATTGGCTGATAAGTCTCGAGGCCCCAAACATCGTCTGGCTGACGTGGTTAATCGCAATTTGAGCTTTGATACTCACGTCATTGGAAATGGTTACTTCCTTATCGCGGAACACGAACTCATTGTCGGAGCATCGATTGATATTGTCCTTATTGTAGTTGTCAGCTAAGCAAATCTGTTGAGATTGATCCCAGTTTGGGAGCTTATTGTTTTCATAGCGGTTGCATTTGTCCATCTCCTTGCCATTCTTGGGAATGCTAAATTCCGTCCAGGGCTCGTCGTATCGACTACTGGGACTATCGCACTCTGTAATGTTACATCTGTTGGAGTTGAAGAAGAGTTCACTTGTCACTGGCTGCTGACTAACTGACTAACTTCAAGCAAAGTTCACCTGTGCATCACAGTGGCAGCCGTGAAAACGTATGTCACGGAGAACATCGCATGAAACATCATTGGCAAACAGATCAGCAGAAAGATGATCATCTGAAAGCGACCAAACTGTCCAATGTGCTTCAGTATGGCGTCCAGTGTAATATCCTCGGGATCGGCATTTGAATTGGTTGCCACAGCCATTTGACTTGGTGCCGATGCCTGGACTGCGGCCGATGGTGGTGGTGCTTCATCGATGGCCGTCATATGTTTAGCTAACTTTGTTCTTAATTAACATACAATTTCCGACATTAACTAAAGTTTATTTATATGTTTTCGCTTATAATTGCCAAGTTTTATTTTTAAACGCGCAGAACTTTTACGACGTAGTTAACGGCACGAATACACGAGACACACTGCCAGCGACGATCAACACCAACCACAACCACAACTGCAATCACAACAATTCCACGGCATTCATTCATTCGCTCTCCGGTCCCTCTCCGAGACGGACTCCGGTCAACGGCAAAGTGGTCTCTCATTAGACCCTGTCCTGTCGAACTTAACTCGACATACACTCGTACACTCTGAGTGTGCTCTTCGCAGTGATAAGATTGCTCAGTTTTACAGCTGTGCCCACAGTTGAGCCTACACAGTTTTGATTACGATCGAGGGCGGAAACAGGGAGGGTGGGAGCCCCTCCATCGCAATGTTAGATAGACGCATACGGTTGCTCATCGAAATAAGAATGCCAAAAAAAAAGATGATATTAAAATGTGTCTTAAATTAAAAAAAAAAAAAAAAAAACTATAATAAAAAATGCTATTCAGCCCCCACCCCCTTAGCGAAGATCTGGCTGCGCCCCTGGTTACCATTGCATAATGCCTAAAATAATCAATGTTTCGACTTTCTATTGCTTAATAATTGCCGCTCAAATTTGCTCGTGAAAGTATTTGCGAATGTTTTGATAACACTAGAGAATTATATAATGTGACATATATTCGTATCAATCGGGCAGAGTAACACAAAAATTATACTTTTGAACAAACTTGCTTTGCATGTAAAATTTATATTTAAAAACTTGTCCGCTGCGAAAATCATTTAAAATCTGTGCTCTGTTGCGAAAATCATTAGGTTTTCTGATTTGTAAATTGGCTTGTTTTTTAGTTGACTTGTGTTGCACAGTGTGTTGGTTGTGTGGAAATAAATAAATAGCGATATTTAATTATCTTTTCAAAGTTTTCACAAAAGCATAATGTTAACAACAGCAATTATAAAACAAATTGATTTAAAATGTAAGCAAAAAGTATAGATATTAAAAGTGGAATTATGTGTAATTGTTTATTGGATGAAGCAAAAAACTATTAAAATCCAAAATATACATTATTATTTATTATTGCAATTAATGATCAATAATTTAGTTGAGACAATTCTACGTGTTCACGTGCTGTATGCGTGATGTTTCCAAAGTCATTTACTTTTCCCTTTTTGCCTAGCTCAATATTTAAATTGTAAATAAAAAATTAGTTGGCAGCATTCCAAAAATATCAGAAATGTGTATGGAAGTATTTGCAAATATACACATATTTCACGATCATGACCAACGACAATATCAGCATATGTTACTAAAATCCCAGAGTAAATACTTCAACCTTGAACAATTTGCGGATATTACACAGAGACAACTGTAAAAGCTGTTACAATAAAAAAACCGGATTCGAATCTGTGTTCTAATGTGACGCGATTAGCTCTGAATACACATACAAGTTGTATTTTAATTGCCTTCGATTGTTTTATGTATGTCAGGAGTAATTCCAAGTAATGAGGTAAGAACTAGCGATCTGTACGCGATCGACAGGCATTTCTAAGAATTACGTTCATCGTTTTCAACTTGTCGAACTCTCACTATTACTAGTCGACTATCTCAGGCTGAAATCGAAAATGCAAATCGTATTTAGTATATATTTATAAATGCATACAATACACATATTAACTCTCGACCTGTCTCATTTAGTTTGCTTCGTCACGCTCTTTGTACGATTTTTTATGAATGAGAACTATATATATTTCTTTGTATATGTACAGCTCGCTAGAAATGAATCGTAAAAGTCAGACAACTTGATGTTTAAACTTTGATCCGATTTTGAATAAAAACAACAACACACAAATCTGTTTATTTGATGAGAATTATTATTAAATTATTTTTTATTTTCGGACAATTTTATGAATGGTTGAGTTGACAAGCTCGTAACTTATTTCCGTTTTTAACAGTACGCTAATTTCAATGTATATTTATCTAAATTTGTTTTTTGTTTTTATTGACTTAGCACTGCAATTTCTGAGTTATCTAGTATATGTAAAGCGTTTTGCTAATTAACAACGAGTATACCAGCTTATGTAAAGTGTTTTGTTAATTAACAACTTGTCATGTTTATTATATTCTTGTAATCACCTTTTAAGATTTGAAATTTACAGGCGACAGATTAATAACTTTAATTTTTCCCGGCAAATAATTGACTGGTTGGGCTTTACATGGTACATGTATCATGTTGTCTACTGATGATTTTCATTTTAAAACAATTCTAATTCCTAGGAGTCAACTATTATCTTAAAGCGCTCAATAACTGCCGAACACGAATAGAGTGTTCAGCTGAAAGAGTTTAGCAAACGCATTTGAAGCAACTTGTAAATACAAAAGAAAGTTTTAAGTCCCATGATTTTTGCTCAGTCTCCACCTCAGTACTGTAACTCTCATTTCAGTTATTGACTGTATGCATTTTATAAATAATAGGATAGGAATAACAGACAAGTGAATAGTTCTGACAAGCACTTAAGCTCAGCTTTTTTGAACAATTTCTGGTTTGTGGGAGTTGAAAGCAAAGGAGAATGAATCATTTGCATTACTCAAGCGAAAGTAAACGGCTAACGGAAAATGATATGAACAACTAAACTTATCCCTTTTTTGTTGTAGATATGTATGTATATGATGAACAGTTTTAGTAATTACAAATAATTTTTGAATTGTGGTTCTTAAGTGTGCAAACTTTACCGATTTTGGTTGAGTTGCAATCCCTCAAGTAAAAAATGTCCTTTGATAAACATTGACCAAATAATTGATGTAACCTTTAAAGCCAAGAAGTTAAATGAAATGGAATAAAAAAGCATATCATTCTGTTGGCGAATATTTTTCACTTGTCATTAATTTAGGACTGTTTTAATTTTTTGTGTTTCAATCACATTAGGCGGCAATTGAGCCCCTTTTGCCTGATTTGGAGCTTCAGTCGATCTGAATGGAACCGTTCATGAATGATCAATTGCGAGCTGGAGGTGAATGACTTCAAAACACAGTTTAGAATTGAAACAAAGACTTCAATAAGTATTCGAAACCAGTTGAAAACGGGTTCTTTATATCTATTATATTAACATCCAAATCGCACATTAGTACCGATAACAAGCTCGGCCTCCTCCCACCCCTCACAAGCAGCAGCTGCACTCCCAAATACGGTGCCAAACAGCGATTCAAGTATTTGATGCGTTCAACCAGCTACTTTAAAGCCACTACTCCACGCATTGCTCAACTCTGATTTAAACAACAAGTAAATTCAATTAATTTAAATGCATTTTTATGCCTAGAAGAGTTCAAAAAATGCACTTAGATCAACTAACCCCCATTCACATCATTCAATCATTCGAAGCTCTTTTGTAACAAACTCTTCCTACTACCAATCACAGTGTTTGTATATTCACTTCTAAAGAATCAGCTGCCAACTGAGGAAAACTCGGCACAATATTGGTGATCTCAAAAGTTTACTATAATATCTTATCTTTCTCTCAAAAACGGTCTAGACTACAGTAGTAAAAGAGCATAAGATCAATCAGCTACCAATTTTGTTCGACAAAAACAAACTGATATTTCAATTTGCTTACCCATTTTTCATTCCCCTTCCAAGAATGATGTACTTACTTTCGTTAGACCATATAAATAAATAAGACGTTGGTTTTTATTTTGTTTGAATATATCTAAACACATACCTTTATTTAATGAATTCAAAAATTGTGTTAAATTCTGTTTTACTTTTGGTTTTGTTTTCATTATCATTTTCATATTTCTTTCCCTATTTGTGGTACATTTCAATTTACTTCACACCCAATACATATAGAAAGTATCATCAAATATTCCAATGTTCTTATGATTTTGAGTTTTAGTTTGCTATTCACTTTTGTTTTCTTCTTTTCTTTTCTTTTTTGGTATTTTGGTATTTGAAGTAAAAATTTGACACAAAACACATTTAGTTCGAGAACGCAATACATTTAGCATTGTATTTGGTTTCTTTGTCTTTTAAATTCATTCTTGACTTGGCTAAATTTGCAATACATGTTCGTGTGTTTGTTTGATGATGATGATGATGATGATGATAATGATGGTAATAATATTGATGTGATGATGGTATGGTGAGTAACTGACTTAAATTTGATACATGATTGATTTCAACGAAATTATATGTTGCTGTATGTATAGGTATGTCTTGTATATATGATGTATATATGAGTAGTGAATAAATACATATGCACTGGCATTAATCGTTACAGTAGTCCGTTTAAATAACTCACTTAATAGCTTGATCATTTTTATTCCATTTTCTTTTTTTTTCTTTTCGTATTTTGTTTTGTTTGTTTTTTAAATCTATAAATTCAATTATAATGCACTTAACTTTGTGTGTATCTCCATTTCTTTTCATTTTTTTTATTGCACATGTATTTGTATATGTAAGTATGTGTATAACTTTTGTTGAACATATGTACGATGTCTGTCTGTATATGGATTTTGTTAATGTTTATGTGTTGCATGGCATGTTTGTGTCTGTTGTTTTGCAAAAACTCGTGCATAAGTACAAACACATCATGATTTGGTTTTGTCCATATATAGTATATATATGTAAATATTTTTAAATATAATTTTTATAGAATTGTAAATATATTGTAAATAATGTTTGCTTTTTGTATTGTTTTTTCGTTTTTTTTTTTTTGTTTCCTTTTTGTTTTTCAACTTTTTACCATTTTTGTTGTACATTTCGCCATTATGTTTGCAATGATGAATTAATACCGCTTTTTACCGTTGCTTATTGTATGTAGTTTAATGGTTGTATTTGTTTAAACTTTGTTGTGATTATGTTGTGTTTCGGTAGCTTATATATGTGTAAGTATTCTTGTATGCTTCTGTGTCCTTAACAGCCTCTCCATTTGGGACTCTAGCTGGGCATGAGAAAAACCATATTCTTTCCGAATTTCAATGATCATTTTGTAAACTCGCTAGGCTGAGTTTTCAAAGCAATTCAATTAATTCCCAACTCTATAAATTACTCTTCGGATTGTAAAAATATCAAGTGATTTTCAACATTTTGTGCCTCGCAGCCAGCACAGCCCCAAAGATCGGCTCGATCTT